GCCTGTGGCTGTGGGCAGGCAGAGCCGTGGGGTCCCTGGGCCCCAATCCCTAAGCTGTGGGCAGCGGGGAGACATCTACAAGGGCCACAAACATTCAGGAGCCCCTGCTAAGTGCCTGGATAGCTACTGTGGACACACTGACATGATACCCCCTCGCAGAGCTCACTGCCAAAGGTGATCCTGCAGGTAGACCTCAGGTGACCCCCATTAACCTCAACCTCCTGTGGGAGGGAACTGTGGCTTGTTTCCAGCTAGCAGAACATGACGAGGATGACAGGAAGCCATTTCGGCAGCTTCTCCTTAGAAGTCAGCGGCTGGGGAGCTCCGTGTACACCAGGCACCGAGGGCAGCTTTGACCTAGACCTCGCGAGGAAGAAGATTTCTGTCCCCACAGGTAGTGAGCTTGGGAGAATCCTGCCCCAGCTGGGCCTGCAGCTGAGACCCAAGGAAGGCACCCAGACTCCTGTTCTTGTACGCTGCCAACACAGGAGCCCTAAAAACAATACGGGGGCAGGGTACGAACACGCTGCTCACGGCCCCTCTCCCCTCGCCCACCCCCTTGCCTCTTGCTGCAGGACTATCTGGCCCACCTCATTTGCTTCAAGTTTACTATGAGGTGTAAGGTTTCCTCTCTTCCCCCTCCCCAGCCCTTGCCGCAGCCTGTCACCCTATAGAGCTGTCTGTCTTCCTTCTCTGAGGTAGCCTGTGGCTCAAACAGAGCGGGCACATAGTAGGCGCTTAGTAAGTATCTTTGGCGTGAGCAAGTGAATAAACATGCCCTGGGGAATGTAAATGAGTTTGCTTACAAAGCTCAGCAAACGGTGTCACATGGAGGAAAGCGAGCTTGGCACCTGCCTTCCCGTGACTCAGCCAGCAGAGCTGCGGGGACAGTGTGAGCCCAGGAATTGGGGGGATGTCTTGGCTACCATCCACCTGGAACCTGTGGAAAGCAGAAGCTGGTATCCTGACGGGGCCAGCAAGCTTCCTCTGTCGCTGTGTTGACTGGCAGGGCGTAGTCGCCATTCGAGCCACTCCACTGTTGCCGAGCCACTCCACTGTTGCCGCAGATGAAATGCCTGTGAGCACAGCGATGTGCCAATAAAACTTTATTTACAAACACAGGCCAGGGAGCAGCTTGGGCCCGCGGACCTGTCTGCTAACCCGCATTTTAGAACGAAGCTGGGTTAACGTTAAGTCAGTAAAAGGAACAGGTGCACCCCATGGCAAGAACTTCAGAGGAAACACTCTGGAAGAGCCAACACAGTGGACAGAGGCCCAAGCTCCCCATCTTTTTTCACAGCTACCTAAGCTGATGATTTATTTTAACCGACTGACTCTCAGTGGGGCTTACTGCAGGCACGTGCCTGGTGCTGAGTTTGGGACAGTCAGCTAAGCTGTGCCGCTACCAGTTTAACCACCGGCACCTTGGCGAGGAGAATCACTCGTCACGCCTGCCAATTCCCGCGGTGTAAACACGCCTGCTGCGCCCATTTAAGCCGCAAGTCCAATGCTGTCGTTTGTACCGGCAAGAGCTATGTGCCTGCCTCAGCCTCCCAGCTGGCAGCATGAGCCGACCTGGGCCCACTGCTGTCGGCTGCCAAGCCAGAGACCTCAGGTCCTCTCCTCCCGGTCAAGGGGCCACTGTGGGAGGCCCCCCCGTCTGCCTAGACCCTCTCAGGTAGGTTCATCGGTGCTCCCCTAGCAGAGGATGCCTCCAGAAAGCAGAGTCCCAACGCAGGGGCTTTCATCTCCTAAACACTGACTGTGACAGACACAAAGCCTGGGTCGCAAACGCCAAATGGAAGCGCGTAGGTGAGGGGGCTGAGGCAGGAGAGGAGGGGGCGGATCGCGGGGCCTGGGGGGCACACGCTGCAGCCTAGAAAACACCGGGGCACAGGGGGGCGGAAGGGACGGCACAATCACACATCCGACCCTGCGCATGGCGGCGACAAACCATGCACACGAGGTCATGACAGGCCGGACCTCTGTGACCGTGCACGATGAGGAAATCTCCTGGCCACCCATTTCTCAGAATGAGTTCCCACCGGTAAGTGACGCCAGCAGCTGTACAGGGCCAACACCCAAAGACCCTGAGAGCAGGAGCACGGCTGTCAGATGTACGGGTCCCGTGACCGCATGAGTTATTTACTCATGGCCGTGAAGGAGCTGTTCCGCCATGAAGGAGCTGTTCCCAGCCACAAGTACTAACAGCGTTTGTGACAGTTTCTGGGCGTCAGAAATCAGAGACTCCGTGCCACAGTTCTGGGGCTCCCTCCTCAGACTCCGGCTGAGGCTGGAGCCCGTTAGGGTGGGCGGCTCATTCACATGTCCGTGACGCGGTGACGCCTGCGGCCTGACGAGGACCAAGTATGCTGGAAACTCAGAACTGCTCTGGGGACCTGAACGTGAGGCACCATGAACGAGGGACCCCAAGGTTCCTGAGGGGACAGGAGGGAAACCAAGCCCCGTGGCGTGGCTGGAGTCCTCATGTGTCCTTTGCAGCTCTGTGCCAGGCCTTGAACCCCGACTGCCAGCTGGGCCCCACATGTGAGTCCTGCCCCAGCATCCCAGGCGAGGGTGGGCTCAGTTGCTGCCACTGCTGTCTTCACTGTCTGAATAAGCACCCAGCTGGCTTAGGGAGGACGCGCCCGGGTTCTGGGGGGCGGGGTCTGCCACCTGATCACTCTTCATGGAGCCTAGGAGGAAGGCAAGAGTTAGCCAAGCACACCTCAACCCTGCAGCCCACGTGCCGTGGCCAGCCCACCAACAGCTGAACCCAGAGCGCAGGGCTACTGACTCTGATTTGTTCAGGGTGCAGAACAGCCGGGCTTTCTGGAGGGAAGCTGCGGCTCGGTTACCGGTCTGGACACTCACGCCGTCTGCCCAGCAACACCCCCATGGAAGCTGACCCATGGGGGTCCAACCCACTTCTACCAAACCGAAGCCACTTCAAGTTGAAAGGAAAACCAAACACCACGGGATAAGAGGGGCCGCGCCCAGCCCCACCCACTGCACCCCAGGAACACTCTGGGTAAGTGGCTTTGCTCTCTGGCCTGGGTCTCATCTGACCAGTAGGTGCTGTCTGGTCGCAATGGCTCATGCATGCAACAGCTCACTCAGGCCGGGGCTGCAGCTGACCCTCACAAGGTGCCACACAGGCATCACACAGTGGCTTAACTGGCGGGTCCTCACAGGGTAGCAAAGTTAGGCTGTGGCTGCACCACAGCCACAGAACACGTAGAGGAGGGCGGGGCTCTACACCTGGTCAGGGGTGTGGCCAGTCCCTCAACCTTCTGCACTCAGCTCCAAAATGGCAGAGGTCAGGCCTCCCTGATATGAAGCTATCCACAGCCAGGGAGTAACCCACAGGGCGGAGCAAACCTCTCCGTCTCACCTGCTGCTTCCCTCAGCCGTGATTCAACAGATCCACTGTTCTGCTCCCCACTCTGCCTCTAGTGAGTCCACTCACCCCCATACCTCTGGCCTAACTCCAGCTCTTGTATGCATAAAGAAAAAAATAAAATTCTTAAAAAAAAATTCTTAAAAAAAAAAAAAAAGGCAGAGGCACTGCTGCCACCTAGCAGCCACCCGCGGTACTGCGCTGAGCTTCAGCACTCCCCCCACCCCCCAACCCCAACTCACCTGGGGTGGGAGCTGCCTGGCCCTGCTGGGTGCTGCCATTCAGCGCTGTTTTCTTCACCACAACCAGGCCCAAGAGTTGGGGCCTGCTGCCAAGGGTGCCGACACTCCGCTCCCAACTCTCCACCTTCCTCTTGGCCTTTGGGGTCTGCAGGGCGATGAGGTAACAGGAGAGAGTGGCCGCAGATCCCACTACTTTTCTGACCTCCTGCTCCTAGTCCCTTTTGAACTGAGGTCTCGGCCACCCATTTTCCCACTGTGATACTGACCAAGTCTCCTTTCCACTCAAAACTCCTCTGTGCCCCCTACCAGATCAGGCAGCTCCTCAGCAATATCACTGGGGTCAGTGTCGGCCTGGACTCTTTACTCCTCATCGACTTTATAACAAAATGATGTTGCACAAAATGTTATTGAAGGACCTGCCTGAGATAACCACCACGATGTCCATCTAGATAAGGGCGGGTGGCAGCGTGGGGGAGGGACAGCCACTTCTGCTAAGGCCATTGAGGCAGGTCTCATCTATGAGGTGACGCTGGCCAACATCACAACTAGGCAGAGGCGTTAGCAGCCACTCGAGGAGGTGCTGAGGCAGAACAGTGACGCGAGGGCCTGAGGTGGGAATGAGCTTGGCACTCTGAGGGGCTGGGGGGGGCAGTCAGTGTGGGGGTGAGGACACAGTGGTCGTGGTGCTGCCCGAGGGCTCAGTGAGTGGTGAGCAAGACAGACAACTGGGGGGCCAGGGGTGACAGAGACATGGGAAGGCAAGTCCAGGGTTTCTCGCTGGCACCACGGAACTGACACGTCACTCACGTGACAACGGCCCAGCCTCAGGACAGGCTGAGCACAGAGAGTTACACCTCTGCTACACACTTGCCGTGCTGGCTGTACTCGTTACCACTGCACCCATCAGGGAAAGAGCCGTGTGAAGATACACTTTTGTAAGAGTTACGGGGAGGTCTGAAAGGTCCTGACAAAGGCATATTGTGCACAGCAAAGCAGAGGTCGCCACCAAGTTACACGTGAACAGGGTAACTAGACATGCTGGGGGAGAACGTAAAACCCAGACTGCTTTGAAAGCGGCTTCGACTTAAAAAGAAGAAAGAAAAAGAGGACATTTTAGGGCCCTCCCTGGTTGTGAACAGGTTAAAGCACAGCACTGTGAAGCTGTCCACAGCCACTGCAGCTCAAATTCGATCCCCGGCCAGGAAGGTGACCCACATGGCGCAGCAGACCTCTCCTGTCTCCCCGCTGCTCCCCTCAGCAGTGTGTTTCAGTCAATTCTCCTGTTCCGCTCCCTACTTGGTCTGTGGTTGTCTCCCCTCAACCCCCACACCTCTGGCTTGTACCCCAGTTCTTGTATGCATAAGTAAATAAATCTGTAAGTAAAAAATAAAAATACCTAATTGCTACAAACATGACACAGAGATGCAAAGTGAGCACATGCTGCTGGAAAAATGGCGCCAACAGCTCGCTGGACACAAGGCTGTCTGTCACTACCCTTCAATTTGTAAAATGCAGCAACTATAAAGTCTAATAAACTGAAATACAATATGACAAGGTACAACTTTATCCTCCAAAAGCAAAGCTTGACTCAATATCCAGAGCTAAATGGGGGGCATTTTTGACTACAAGTCTGCTCTCACTTCCAACGCTTAGAATTCTCCGTGGAAGAGTACAGCCTCTATAAAGACCACATTTTCCAGGCTCCTTTGCAGAGGGACGTGGTGACGTGGTTCAGCTCATGAGCAGGAGCATGTGCAGAGCCAAGAGCTGAGTATCCCTGATGCCCAGCCCCTTCCCGATGGTGCATCACAGAGGCAGAGACAGCACTTGGACATTACGTGGTGGCAGAACAATGACAAGGTGTCTGGGTGCCTTCCCTGTTTGGGGGGTTGTGTGCACAATTATTTCGAAGAAAAGGAACGTCTGTGTAATTGAGATCACTTACTTTGGGTCTTGTACAGTGGTTGTGCATTTAGCTAACACAGATCAAGAGTATGTTTTGAAGTAAAATGTTCCTGGGGTGTCTGTGTTACATCTGTTTTCCCACTTTTACTTCCTTCTTTAACACATCGGAGAGGCAGTGACCACCCTGGATAAGACAGCTACGATGGCAAATGCTAATTGCCTTCCCTCCCCCTCCCCCAGTCTGCCAGTGGGCCAGTTAGCATATATGCTATACACCTCCCAGTGTCCCTTGCAGCTAGATGTGGTCACATTACTGAGTCCAGTCAATGGGATGAGAAAGGAACACAGGACCTGGGATTGCAGGCACTCCAACACACACCCTGACTTCCCCAGTGGACGCCAGTGGTCTAAGTTAGTGTGACCACAAAACATAATCAGTGCTCCAGGAGCAGACAGAGTAAGCCACTACATCTCTGAGTGACTGCATGGAGCAGACAGAGTAAGCCCTAGATCTCTGAGTGACTGCATGGAGCAGAACTGCAGGCTGTCACCTCGGGCTGTCATGTGACTGAAAAATCAGTATCTGTGTTCTTATGCTGCCTGTTTCAGCAGCTAAAGCAGCAGTCCAATTACAGACGAGTCAGGCCCACCTCACTAGAGTCTAAATCTCTTTTTACTGAGGATGGGCTAACTTAGTGACTTGCTGTTTTCGAGAATAGAGTTTTACTGGCACACAGCCATGTCCACTCACTCACACAGGGTCTGTAGCTGCTTGTGTGCCCTGATGACAGTCATGCTGTGTACAAGTCTTGCAGACCACCTGGCTTTCAGGAACAATGAGACCTAGCCTGAGTTACTTTGTCTCTGCTTAACTTGAGAACACGTGAAACAGGCGCAAGGCCACTCACCTCGTCCAGGATAGCCGTGGGGTTCGGCCGGAGGACCGAGCGGGGTGGGGCAGGAACGGGAGCATCCTCCTCAGAGTCAGAGTCTTCCAGCAGTCTCCGTTTCCTGGTTTCTTCCACCAAGGCCCTGGAGGATGAAATGTGGGGTTTGGGGATCAGTGCCCAAGGTCCCCCCAAAGCTAGGTATCTTGATTCAAGTCCCTTTTCCTGATTTCAATGGGTGGAAAATAGGAATCATGAAAATTCCTTTTTTAAAGAAAACTGTTCTTTGTCTCTTGAGAGCAGTGAGTGTTAAGTGCCTTGATGCAGGACCAGCCTGTCTGGATTTGAACCCTAGTTGGGTGACTTAGGTGGGGGCCCTGCCTGGACCTCCCTGAACTTTAGTCCCCAAACCATGGTGATGACCATGCCAATCGCAAAATAGACTGGGCACCAGAATGTGCTCAGCGAGCACAGACTCAGCGTCAGTGGTCTAACCGGCAGGGCCACTAGGCACCTACCATGCGCCTGGCCCCAGGGATGCAAAAGGAAAACAGCCCCGTAAAGAGGGAGGAGACCATAAAGCGGAAGGGGGAGAAGCAGCAGCTATTTCAGTGGACCTGCCTGTTCTGCTCCCCACATTTCTCTGACGACTCCTCTCACCCCTGCACCTCTGGCCTGCACCCCAGTTCTTCTACACAAAAGAAATGAAATAAAAAATTTAAAATAAATCAAAATTGTAAAAAAAGGAATGTTCCAGAGAAGTGAGACGGGGAAGGGAAGGTGACCCGCACTGCAGCCAGCCCCGCTGCCCCGGTGGCGCGACTCACGCCGTCTCCCTCTCGTCCTCCTCCTGCTCCTGCTTCTGCCGCTCCTCCTCTGACAGGCGATGTTGCCGCAGCATGGCCTCAAAGTCCACGTGGGCCTGCCGCTGGTTCAGGTCCTTGAGCTCCTGAAGGTTCTCCAGAACCTCCATCTCCAGCTTGGAGTCCTTGGTTCGGTTCTCCAGCACCTGGCAGGCGGGATGACACAGCGCTGAGTGTGCTGGGCTTTCACTCTGGATGTCCCCCACTGGCCACGGTGGCCCCGAGGGGCAAAGGCACCTGCTCAGGGACCCCCTGTCCTGCCTGGCCTCTGACCCCATTTCACAGATCAGAACACTGAGGCTGGGGAAGGGAGGTGATTGCCTCAGGCCACCGGCCGGTAAGGACAAGCCCGGTGACCAGGCGGAGCATGGCTCCTGTGAGCACAAGCAGCCCCGCAGATTTTAAAGGACAAGCCGAGTGGGGGCTCTGTGCCGGGCCCGGGCCGAGACGTTAACAAATAGTGTCCCCTAGCCTGAGCGACAAGCCCCGTTTCACAGAACAGGAAACCGAGGTGCAAAGAGCGGGTGATGGCCACCCAGGCCTCAGACGGGGGCAGGCAGAGCTGGGCAGCGGTCCTAACGGCGGCTTCCTGACTGGAATCTTGCTTCAACCTTCTGGAAGGTGGAAGTCACGCGGATTTGAAAATACATCCGCAAGTTCTCCGCTGCTGCTCCCTTTTAGAAGGGGAGTCAAAGCCCCTCCCGAGGGCGGGCTGCCGAGTGACGTGCGGCTAGTGACGAGCACGAGCGAGGACACATGCACTGCCGAGTGCGGGCTAACGGCACGGTGGCTTCCCCCCTGCGCTCTGCAGGCTCACCGACGAGGGAGCCTGGCGGGCCTTCTGCTTTTTTCCCTCTCTCCCCTCCCAAGGGTTGAAGGAAGGGATCCATCCTTACTGTTCAGAGCCACCAACTCCTGCCCCTAAATCAGGCTGAGAAGGAAACAGCCAGCTCCTCCCTCCTCCTGGTGGTTTTTCTTTCCCACCCCAGTTTATTTTTTGTTTCCCCTCTACCCGACCTCTGAAGCCATTTTATGAACTGTCATGTGCCACTGAGCCTCCAGGAAAAATAAAAACAGGCAAAAAAAAAAAAAAAGGAGCCCACACTGCTGCTGGCCGGCGTGAAGCTGCGGCCTCCCGTCAGCACCCACACAAGACCCATCCTGGAGTCGGCTCCTTCGGCCCCAGCTGCCCCTGCAGAGCAGACGAGCCCCAGCCCACGGCTTGACTGCAGTCTGGCGAGAGACGCCAAGCCAAGGCCACCCAGCTAAGTGGTCCGGGTGGGACTCCTGCCTCAGAAATGATGATAAACGTTTGAAGCTGCAAAGCTGTGGGCAACTTATGCAGCAACCGCCAACTAGTGCCAGAGCAACGGCCCCTTGTGCCGGGAGCAGCAGCGACCTGAGGAGCACATGGAAAGCACTGCCCCCCCAGTGTGTGGGGCCCACAGCAAACCCCGCCTGACCCATTTCCCTCCCTGCTGCCCTGGGCGGCTGTTGAAACAGTTGTATCGGCTCTGACAAACTTTGCTCAGATAACACAATCGACAGAGGTGAGAGGGTCCAGGGACAGGTGACGTGGGGGTGGGTGGAGTCGGGGGAAGCCACACATCCTAATGTTTCTGAGAAAAACAACAAAAATGTCCAATCAAAGATGAAAATAAATTTAAGGAATAACAATACCAGTAGTAACGACTATGGAGTACTGAACGCTGAGCCCTCAGACATTCAACGCTCAAGGGTGTGAGGCGGGTACAGGCATGCGGCCGCCTCACAGAGGGGCGTGCGGAGGCAGAGAGGCCCAGTGCCCGGCCAGGGTCACACACACAAGAGCACTCTCCATCTGATTCCTAGCCTAATCCCTACTGGCCTAACTTAGCCTAATCCCTACTGGTCAAGAAGACCTTTTAGAAAGCGGGGGACGATGACGGCAGGAGGCACCTTGTGACCGGAAGTCCCACTTCCCGCTTCCCATATTCTCCTGCAGCCCAACAGTGTGTCACCAGCTTAGTGGCAATATGAGTTCACTGTCTTGGAGTCTGTGTGGGTCAAGAGTCTGGCACAGCATGGCTGGGGGCTCTGACACTCTCACCGGCCAAAATCAAGGGGCTGTGGTCTTCCCTGGGAGAACGGGGTCCCCTCCTGAGCTCCTTCAGGTGCCTGTGGGGCTGAGCACCCGTTTTCCTGCTGGCTGATAGCTGGGGGCCCCTCTCTGTTCCTGGGGGCTGCCCACGCCTCCCGGGCATGTGGTCCACTGTGCGGTGCAGCTCCTTCACACCCCGATGCCCTGTCTCCAACTCTAGACCCAGACGAAGGGGTCCAAGTGGCAGGGCAGGCCCACCGGGGCCTCCCTTTCGTGAGGTCGGCTTGCCGAGGCCTGCTCCAGCAGCCTGACCTCAGCAGCACCTCACACACAGCTCCTAGGACCCCGGCTGCGGGGCCGGGCCAGTGGCCTCAGGAATTCCTCAGGGTCCTGCCGCCCACGGACCCGAGGTGAATGGGGCACCCAAACTGCCACCACGATGTGCCCCCGCACAGGGTGCCCGGCTCACCTTCATGGGGTTGTTCAGCTCCTCATCCTCCCGCTCCTTCTGCACCCTCTTCTCCTCCTCCTCCAAGAGCTTCTCAGCCTGGAAGTTCCGGGTGGCTCCGTGCTCCATGGTGTAATCTGTGTTTTCAGGGTCTGTCTGGAAGGAAGGATGGACAGAAGTCAGCTCCTATGCCCTGGTTAGCGAAGGCTTCTGCAGTCATGAGGCACTCTCTTTAAGTTTCTCTCCCTCAAGTACCTTCTCTTTCCCTTATCTTACTGTGTGTGTTAGCTAGTGTGGTGCTTTCCAGGGTTACTGCTCCCCCTTTTGCAAAAACACTCAAACCTGCAGCGCGGACTGCAGATGCTTCCCCACCTATCTCCTGTAACCTTCCACCCTCGACATGTTTGCGAACAGTCTCCAGGCTTTTCACCTTACATGTACGTATGCCTTGCATTTACTCCCTGTTAGCGTAATGTAATATATAACCAAATAGGTACAGTGCATCCTTTCGTATGTATCTATGAAATAGAAAATGGTATCATGGGTTAGTCCCTAGAACAGAAAAAAACATCTGCAAAACAACTGACTATGAATCACGTCTGGAAGCTTCCAATGTGGGCTTCTCTTGTGACAGATGCACAGCGAAAAAGTGTGGTCACGGGGGGGGGGGGGCGCAGAAAGGACCTCTCTGTGCCATGTCTGCAATTTCTCTGAAAATCTAAAAGTGTTACCAAATAAGTTTATTATCAGAAAAGAGAGGAGGAGGAAGAGTGCACCCTGTGTGCACGTGAATACAGAACAGGAGTTCTGAGAATGAGGTAAGACACTGTTGCAAGTTTTTGCTTCTGTGCAGCAGGGCTGGTGGACAGAGGATGCAGCATTCGCCCTGCACTGCTGTTTGAACTGTTTCCTCTGCACGCACACATAACCAAACTTATCAAGGAAAACCTAATTATTTAATCGCCTGAAATTTTTCACTAGAAGGCTAATTGATAAAATTTTGCCATAGTTCCTCTAGTCTTTAAAATAAGTATTGTCTACAAATAGCCCAAATGCTCATGAGTAGATAATACGATGTGGCATATTCATACTGTGGCCATGGAAAGGGGGGCTGCTCTGACGCTTGCACCCACGGAGGGACCCTGAACACATGACGCCCAGGAAGAAGCCAGACGCACAAGGCCACGTGGTGTGAGTTCACTGACGAGAAACAGGCACAGCCACAGAAAACAGGGAGGGGATTAGTGGATGTCAGGGCCCAGAGGACGCAGATAGGGGGTTGATGAGAAGTTCTGGACTTAGGGGTGGTAGATGCCATTAAATTTTACCCTTTGAGGGGCCTCCCTGGTGGTGCAGCGGGTTAAAGCACTGCACCAAGAAGCTAAAGCCACTTCCGCATGAGTTCGATCCCCACCTGCCCGGGGAGGTGATCCACATGGCGTGGCAGACCTCTCCTGACCCGCCGCTGCTCCCCTCAGCAGTGTACTTCACCTATCTGCCTGTTCTGCTCTCCACTCTGTGTGTGGTGAATCCTCTCATCGTCCCTGCACTTCTGGCCTTTACCCAGTTCTGTATGCATAAATAAATGAATCTTTAAAAAAAAAAATTTTTACCCTTTGAAGGGTGAATTGCATTATATGTGAAATATGTCTAAATAAAGCTACTGTTAAAAAAAGTAGGCAAAATATACAATTTTAAAATGTACTCTCTATTTTCTTATTAATCAAACTGTATTTCTTAACCAAAGGTAAAAGCTTATGGCAAAAAAAATACTCAAAACACTAAAGAAGCATAAGAGAAAACTGCCCCAAGTTCTCCTCGTCCTTTTCCTAAGTCCTTAGTACCACCCCTTGAGGTGACAATGACAGGCGCGCACACGATCTCCGCTGGGTATGCAGGGTCCCACGGCAGTGTATCATCTGCGCAGGAAGCCCTCATTGCTGCACCTCGAGCTGCCTCCAGCGTCTTCCACTACACACGCTGTCAACGCTCAGCGCTGAGGTACACTGAGGAGGCGTGTGACGCCATGAAGCCAGATGGAGAGCCTACTGCACACCTAAGCCGAGCCCTCCCTGGCCTGAATGTTAAGTGACACACTGTCCTCTCCCAGAAGCTGTCTGCTTCATGGGAAAAAGGTGAAGTGGGATGTCCTGCAGCAAGAGGGTAAGGGTGGGAGCGGCGGGGACCCCCAGCCTCAGCGGGGGCGGGGAAGGAGGGAGCAGCCTGGCTGCCACCCACCTTGAAGGTGATCTCCGCCAGGCAGCGCGTGCACTTAATGTAGAAGCGGAAGATGGGCAGGCCCAGGTAGGCCTCGTTCTGCACCGTCTCTTTGCGCGCGTTGAACTTCTTGCCCTTGTAGATGTACTCTCCGCATGTCTTACACCTGTGGGGGGACATGAGGGCCAAGTCATCGTGGCGCCTGGCTCCGGCCAGTGGGATGCTCTGGCCGACTGGCACACGGCCGCTCGTGTCCTCCCTTCCCGAGGGCTGCCTGCTCCGGCACATGCATGACTCCCCCACTGACAGGCTCTTCCAACATCTAACGAGGTGAGCCAGGGGAGTCACACTCCCAGCAGACACCCTGGTGCTCTTGAGGCATCTGGCCCCCCACAGGGATGAGTCTACCAAGAGGAAAGTCAGGAAAGCCCCGGAGCAAGGGGAGCTCATGTTGTCCTTGCTGTGGTGCTCCTGCTTGGTCCCGTGCTCCCCAAGCCCAGCACACCAGCCTCCCAGCTACCGGGCGAACACCCCCAGTCCGGTCCCACCTCCGGACTTTTGCCACCGCAGTTCTCACTGCCCAGGTCACTCTTCACCCTTCAGATCTGCAGTTCCACTGGCATCTGCTGGGTCATCTCCCCAACCACCTCCTCCTTCCCTGCTACCAACTCACTTCATCTGTCTGCTGCCAACTGACTTGTTCCAGTACGCCTGGCAGGACTGCACGGCTGCTGTACCATACCATCCCCACGATCATGCCATCAACCCCGGGGTCAGGGACTTTATCAGTCTTGCTCTCCGCAACAAGCCTGATGCCCAGCCTTGGCCCTAGTGTATAACAGGTACCCAGTGACTGACTGCTGAATGAAAAAATCAAAGGCAGGGTCCTCCTTGGTGGCACAGCAGGCGAAAGCGCAGCACTATGAAGCTGGCCGCAGCCCCTGCAGCCCGAGTTCCATCCCCAGCTGGGAGCTGCCCCACAGGTGACAGACCTCTCCTGTCCCGTCCGCTGCTCCTCTCAGGTATATTTCAGTCAGTGTGCCTGTTCTGCTCCTTACTCTGTCTCTAGTAAATCCTCCCAGCCCCCACACCTCTGGCCTGTACCCCAGTTCTTGTATACATAAATAAGTAAATCTTTAGAAAAGAAAAAGTTAAAGGCAGGCAGGAGAGAAACAACCAGGTAACACTATGAAGGTGTGTGGTGGACGTCAGCGAATAAAGGTGTTTTGATTGCAGGTGTATCCAGTTTCACATTCAGCGTGTGCTGACTAGCAGCGCTGCTCAGGTGCAGACGGCACAAGCGAGGCGGTCCCAACAGGCTGTGCCGCGCAGCCCAGTGCGCTGTACGGCCCAGCCTGTGTCCTAACACGCTATGATGTCGCACAACACCAAACAGTGCTTTTCTCAGACCATGTCCCAGCGTAAGTGTCACATGATTAAGGTCTCCCAGCAGCGCCCCTGCGCCAGCTGAGGGCAGGAGGATAATCCTGGGTGGCGAGAAAAGCAAGGTCTGCAGTGGTCCCTGGCTCTCTGGTCAACATGTGCCAAGGACAGCGACCCGGGCTGAGCACGGGTGACGAGTCTCTGTACACATGAACACCGGGGCTGTGTGCCCTGTCTGGGCCAGGGGTTGTGCTCACCTCATGTTGAAAGGGGCCATCAACCGTACCACGTACTGCCGGTCTTTGGGGAGCTTGAGTTTGGGGATCTTCGACGGGTCGAAGTCAGGAGGGTAGTATTTCTGTGGGAAGGAAAGGAGTGTTGGGGAACCATGCTGAGACACAGGCTGGTCTGGATGCCTCCACTCTGGCTATTAATTATCCCGTCAGTGCCTGTTTCCTCAGCTGAAGAGTGGATAGCCATCCACAAGGATCTGATGAGCAGTGCCTTGCACACAGAACCACTGAGTTATGGAAATAAAGATCGCCTCATTTTGCTGCACTTTGCAGCTATTATGCTTTCACAAATGCAAGCTGCTGGCAACCCAGAGTCTAGCAAGTCAATCAGCACCATTTTTCCAAAAGATGTGCTCACTTTGTAGCTCTGTCATGTTTAATTAAGGGATGTACATTTTTAGTTCTAATGCTACTGCATTCTTAATAGACTTTAATATAGCATAACCATAACATTTATAAGCACTGGGAAACCAACAAATTTATGTAATTCGCTTCACTGCAACAGGCTGGAACAGAACCTACAATACCTCTGAGGTGACCTTTTGATGACTCCCAGGTGGAGCCTCAGCATGGGAGAGGTTTCACAGACAAGAAGTCCAGCATACTGCACTGAACAGTGCGGCGAATGGGGCTGGATTCCCAGTATAGATGTTTAAAGGATAAGGGCGGTGAGTCTGAGGATGTCATCCATTCCACCTCTGCATCCCGGGCTCCTGGCAAGACCTTGAAATCCTGGTCTCCACTAACAGGACTGGAGCACAGTTCCTTTCTAGGGCACACACCCTGCTGGGGGTGGGGTGGGGGTTTGGGGGCCTCAGAATTTCATCCTTGCCAGAAGCGGAATCCTGCCATCCCAGACGGCTCCTACTCTCGCCTCCCCAAGACATCCAGATTTTCCCTTCCACAGAGTAGGGTAGAGAAGAGGCGGCCATTGATATGGTTCCCTATCAGCAGAGCTTAAGGAACAGTGAACCCAGGCAGGTGGGGCTTAACAGCGCCCCGTCCCAAAGGCGCTGCTATGGGGGTGCAGGGGGAAGAACTCCCAATATTTTTAAGGAAGTCCCAGCCCAAGGGAAGTAACCGGGTTAATTCCTTGGGAAAACCCTTAAGGGAAAGTGAGTCAATATCTCAAGCTCCGCCCCCCGCCAGGTGAACGTGGGACGGCTTAAGGAAGGTCCCGCCCCCAGCGGAGGGTGATTGGGAGGGGGTGGGAAGCCCCGCCCCCAACGGAAGGCCGTTAGAGACGAAAAAGGTGTCCGTAGTTCACGGGAAGCCCGCCTCGGCCGGAGCTCCGAGATCCCTAGCCCCAGGCAGAAATCCCTAGCCACCGAACACTTACGTTTAAAACTTTCCGTTCCGACATCTTTGCCTCCTGCTCTCCACGAAAGCACGAGAGAACTGGTTAGGTTCGGTGTTTACCGAATTCCCCGCTGTCCCTTGTACTTCCGCTGACATCACTTCCGTCCATCGACTTCTATCATTGGCTGCAGCTGAGTATCTGGCCTTTTCATTGGCTCTTATTCCGCCTGTCAAGGTCCGAATACTATCTTCCTTCCGGAGTTGCACTTCTGTAGTGAGCAATAATGGTTCCGGAAGCTGTCTGAGTTTCTAGAAGCCCAGAGGAGGCACTGCGCCCCTGGAGGTCGGCAGCGACGGGTTAAAGTTTTGTAGTAATACAAGGTGGCTGCTGGTCGCAACTTTCCGTTTTCCTTCATTTATTCAGCAAATAAAGCGCAGTGTCGAGTGCTAACCAACCCCAAAGACGGAGCTCCAAACCTACCTCCCCTTTACACGCCGTCCAACTCCCAAATGTCCCCCCATTGCCTAAGTTGCCCCCTTCAAACAGAAAGTCCCACCTCATTTTCTTTTGTAAATGTTTGTTCTTATCGTATGTGCTCAGCCACAAAGTACATGGCAGGGAGCAAGACATAAAATTCCTGCCTTGCTGGGGAGCACTGGGTATGGTGGGACAAATGGACAATAAACACACAAAAAGGAGCCTTCTCAGGCCTGGTAAAAGACTTGAACACAAGAAAATGGGGTGGCATTGGAAAACTTTAAATGGTGTGTGACTTTCCTACGTCTGCTATAGCGAATTACCACAGACTCACTGTCTTAACACACGTTTATTATTTTGTAGTTCTAGAAGTCGGAAGTCTGAAATGGGTGGTAGAGCAGGTTCCTTCTGGAGACTCCAAGGGAAAATCCATTTCCTTCATTTTTCCTGCTTCTGGAGGTGCCACATTCCTTGGCTCACGTCCCAGCTTCACTCTGACCTCTGCTCTCATCGTCCAACCCTCCCTCCAACCCTCCTGTCTTCCTCTAACAAGGACTCTTGTGATTATATCGTGGCCACCTGATAATCTAGGATAACCCACCTGATGATGTTCACTACATGAACGCTCCTGAACCTTTAAACTAAGGGTCTTCGGGCGCCCCCTGGCGGCGCAACGGGTTACAGCACAGCACTATGAAGTTAGCTGCAGCCACTGCAGCAAGAGTTTGATCCCTGGGAGATAACCCACAGGGCACAGACCTCTTCTGTTGCACACGCTGTTCCCCTCAGCAATGTACCTTGTCAATCTGCCTGTACTGCTCCCCATTCTGGTGAATTCTTCCACCCCCCACACTCCTGGCCTATAAACCAGTTCTTTATACATAAATAAATAAATATTTTTAAATAAATAAATAAAGGATCCTCAAGATTCTTAATCATACCTGCGAAATCCTCTTTGCATGTAACGTACCATATTCATAGGTTATGGGAATTAGGTTGTGGGTATCTTTGGGGCAGGGGTGGGGAGCATTATTTTGCCTGCCAGAGATGAGGTAGGGAAGGCTTCACAGAGGAAGTGACCTTTGAACTGAGACCTGAGTGCAATCACATAGATTTTTCTCTGACCTTCAGGCCTGGCTGCTTTGCCCCTTTCTCAGAGCAACCTTTCCCAGACAAACTCGGGTTGTGTGTGCTCACATAGGGGAAGCCTTCGGAAGGTGGGTCACCCAAACTGCTGGAGTGGATGGATTCCACTGTCCCATCCCAGGCAGGCCCCCCAACAACCCCATTCTGACTCCTCAACCCTGGCCTCTCCCTCTGGTCCAGCCCTGACCCCATCTGTGGGGGTGGGACCTCGCTCTGCAGTGGGGGTGGGGGGGCCTGCCCTGCTCTCCCTTAGAGTACTCTTGGGTTTTATCTGAGTCTCTTGATGGAAGGGAGAAGCCCTGATTTCAGTGATAATGATCCTTTGCTTTTGTGTGTGTCTCGCTTTTTTTTTTGGTTATATAAGAAAGCTTTGCTTTTTATTTCACTTTCTGAATCTGTGCTTGTGCACTCAACACTTTCACAATGATTTTCTGCTCCTCTATTAAGAAAAGCCCGCTTCATCCTGTCCTGGACACATTTAGCCCCATAGAGCCACCACAGGCCCAGATGACGTGTTCTTTCACTTTGATGCCTCTTAAGAAATTCAGGTCTCACAGAGGAACCCCTTGAAGTTTGCCTGGGCACACACCACATACGGATTCCAGTGCTCTCCCTACCTTCCTATAGAAAGGTAAGCAATTCTCACCAGGGCTTGGGGACAGCCTTCTTCTGCAGGAGGTTGCATTGTGGGCGCCTAGGCCAAGATGGCAAAGGCCACACCATTCCCAATACCTCTAGACACGGTCCCGGAAGAGGAAAATGGGAACAGCAATCATCTTTTCTAATCAAATGATGATAAAAAAAAAAAAAAAAACACCTCACACCCACAGTTCCCAAAGCACCACACTGTGGCCAAAGGAGGAAACACACCCCCATTTCACAGACTGAGAAACTGAGGCTCAGAGAGGCAAAGTCACTCTTCCGGGGTCGCTAGGCAACTCGGCTGCAGCAAACCCAGGCCAGCTGGGTACCGTGTCCACCTTGGTGGGGGGCTGATGACGATGACGACGACGACGACGGCAACGGAGAGGATGGTGGAGGCCAAGGACCCACCTCATAGGTGACTGGGAAGCTATCTAGCCCAGGGTCACCGAGGTAGTGGCAGGCAGACTCCAGTCGCTGGATTCCCCGTAGTTGGTGAGGTCTTGAGCAGCCACCTGGATGCAGTACCTGGCTTTGGGCCTCACAGCGCCAAGGGTGAAAGATGTGGCTTCAATGGGCCCCACCTGAGATCACAGAGGGCCAGGTCAGGGTGAAGGCAGAGGCTGGGGGGGGTAGCACCCCAAACCTCGATCTCATGCTCCCGCTGCTGCGACTGAGCCCCGGCGGCCCACCCTAAGCAGCGCGGCTGTCCCCTCCACATCGTCTGCCCTCCCGCTCCCAACTCGTACAGATTTGCAGGCGCGGCCCGAGCAACCTCTCGAGGACCCTTCCTGGGTCGCACCCATCCTAGGGCTGTCTCAGCAGCTGCAGGAGCCTCACTCACAAAGACCTGGGTCCTCCCCACCCCAACTCTTAATCGTGGTGAAATCCACATGGCATAAGCTCAACCGCCCAAGGTGGGCGGCTCAGCAGCATTTAGCGCTGCCGCGTGGTCGCCACATCCTCGTAGCTCCCCAGTCTTCCAGACCTCGCGCCTCCTCCCCAAACACTGGCAACCACGGACGCCCTCCGGTCTCTGTGGCTGTGCCTGTTCTGGCTCCTCATCACGGACTCGCACCCAGCGCGGCCGTGTGTGTCTGGCTTCTGTGCCTGAGCGTCACACGTTACAGCGTTCTGGTGTCCCAGTGGCCCACACTGTGTGTGTCATCCAGGGCGCAGATATCTGGGTTGTTTCTACCTGGCTGCTGTGAATAGCGCAGCTGTGAATTCCCATGGACAAGGATTTGCCTGAGTCCCTGTTCCAATCCCTCTGTGTAGATACCAGGAAGCAGATCTGCTGGCCAACCTCGCTCACAGTCCCTCTGTTACTTGGGAGGCCCCACACCCCTTGCACTGGCCTGGACCCTTCGCAGCCCCCCTTTCTCTTCACCTGGCGGTATCGGGCGGCTCCGTGACGCTTGTAGCGGATCCGGTACTTGAGTGAGAAGACCTCGGGGAAGGGCCAGGACTGGGGGGGTTCCCATTGCACCCACAGCTGCTGCCCAGGGAGGCGGCTCAGGTGCACACCTTCTGGAGGGTCCGGCTTGACTGACGGACGAGCAAGGTCCAGTTATTCACCCATCCAACCAACCAGCCATCCAACCCCTTAATCACTGGGAATCATGCTGCACAAATTTTTGTACACAAATTTTTCTGGAAGTTTTCTTTGCTCTTAGGTCTATACTAGAGCTGACCTTGCTGGGTTATATGTCCATATATGTTGAGCTCTTTGGAGGATGACTAGAGTATTTTCATTCCCCAGCAGCAAGATAAAATAGTTTGCAATTTTTAGCAATGTGTTCAGAGGCCATCTCCCTGAGGAGGTAACGTCTGAGCAGAGGTCTGTCGGTCCCGAGGGATGAACCATGTAGAGACCTGGGGGAATTCCAAGTAGAATTCCAAGCAGAGGGTACCACGCATGCAAAGGTCCTGGGGCAGAAACACTACTAGAACAGATACTGAGGAACATCTGGAGGCCCTGGAGGCTGGACTGGAGCAGGTGAGGAGAGGGGGCAGTAGAGAGGAGGAGGGGACAGAGGAGGTTGCACAGGGCCTCAAAGGCCTAGAGGGGACTTGGGCTTTTACAAAACCCTGTGGAGGGGGAACCCCCTAAGGGCTGCAGGCAGAGGGGTGGGCCCTGACTCAAGTGGCTGCTTGAGGAGGACAGACTATGGGGGTGAGGACAGGACAAGGGTGAAGGCGAGCACACTGGCGCAGGCAGGTAATGCTAAGGCCTGGGCCGGGTCAGACTCAGGGGTGGGGGGAGGAGGACGTGAAAATCTGTAAGGGCGGAGCCGACAGACCCACGATGACGGGCAGAACGGAGGTGGTACGGGGAGGAACAGGAACAAGCCGGCACCCTCCCTCCCACCCCCGCAACTGCCCCACTCACTGATATGCTCTGGGACAATGGACACAAAGCTGCTGCTGGCACCCCCAGGGTGGATGGCCGTGACGTTGAGCACGTAGGGCACCATGGAGAACATCTGGATGTCTGGGATGGTGCAGCTGGTGGCCTCTGGTGTGGGCTGGACGCAGGGCTGGCTCTCCCCGTGGGCGGCCGCACCGTGCCTGGACACGGAGAGCAGCTGTGAGGGCCCTGGGCCCCGAGTTGGGTCCTGTAGCCCTGGGGCAGCCCCCACCCAGCAGCACAGAGCCCTGGATGGTGTGGGGCAGCCGCCAGGAGGTGCTGGGGTTCCAGGCCCTGGGACTTCCAGAGCAGCACCCTGCCCTGGCGTCACCCCTTCCAAGCTCTGGACTCACAGCCTTTGGAATCTGAAATAAGATTTGATTTTCTTGACTTTGGAGACCCTGAGACTTCAGAGACCCCAGATCAACATCACCCGCAGAACTTTCCACAACTTCCAAAATGCTCTGTCTGCATCGCTGGAACCATAGGGCGAGCTACCCAGCCCAGCACACCTGGCGGGACCACGACTTTTCCACTTATTTAATCTCATCTAAATGGAAGCTTCAGTCACCAGAAAGCCTGGGAACAGCTGTTTGGAACAATTCAATGTGTGAACTTCCTTTTCCAAGCACCAATTTCATGAAACTGAGTTAGAACACAAGCATTTCCTATGAAAATTTAGCATTTGTGTTGAAATGTGGTAGAGTCATGAAAACCACACGAATTTTAAAGACAGCATAAAAAAAAAGCAGGCAAAATGCCTCAATAATTTTTAAAATATTGACGACAGGTTAGGCACTCAATTATATAAATATTGTTCATGATAAACTTGAGATATATAAATTAGATACATCAACATGATTTCACGTTCATGAGAAATACTTGGAACATTTGAATATTATTTTAGTAAAATACTGAAATGAACTTCACTGATGTTTGAACGCTCTGAGCCATGCACGGGGCTGGCTGTACATGTCCTTCTCTCGGACAACCTCAGCAGGGCTCCGAGTTCCGGGGTCCTGATCCAGGCCTGTCAAGCTCAGTCACAGAACCCCAGAAGCCCTCCCAGGTTGCTGACCTGTACGTGGCAATGAAGGACGTGGGCCTGGCGGAGCTGGGAGGAGTGGGCGGCAGGGTCCAGCGGCAGTCCACGGCGAGCGGGTACCTAGATGCCCTGCACCGCACCCTGGGCTGGGTGGGCGCTGGCAGGCCCCAGGGCGGGGTGGGGAGGAGCGTGAGTGGAACTGATTTCTGCTGGGATTGCAAAGCCCGAGAGAATGCTCAGCTACCCCCACCGCCGCCCTGCCAGTCAGTGCCAGGCAGGGAGTATGTCTCCACACAGGCCTGTGACATGAGCAAGTCAACGAAAAGCCCTGCCCTGCAGCCCACCCAGTCAGGGGCTGAATAGCTAACTCCCTAAAGCCCACTTTCATAACCCATTTTCCAGCTGGGAAATGGAGGCTGAAGAAGTCACAAAGGAGAGCTGGCGGAGGGGAATGTTGGCAGGGAGACACCAGACTGCATTTGTTCTTTCTGCCAGTTAGTTTTAAAGCACAAGAAGTTAATGTGCCCAGTGAAACTCACTCTCAACCTGTCTAGGCTGCAGCTGACTCGCCCAACTCGGTGACTCGGTGTCACTTCAGGGAGGGACTTATCCTCTCTGCGTCTCAGTTTCCCCATCTGCACCAGGGGGTGGTGACCACCTCCCACCAGTGATCAGGTGCTCCCACCCCATCCAGCATGTTCCACAGTAGGCCAAGTCCAGCCCCCTGGGAGCTGCCCTCTGCCCACGCCTCACCAGCCCGGTGGCCCCACATACCTTCTCTGCCACTGCAGTGCAAGCAGCTGGCCCAGAAAGCGAGGGCCAGGAGCCGTCCGGGGGCCATGGCTCTGCGGGGCTCTGCTCTGTGGAGCTGAGGCAGGAAAGCAGCCTCGGACAGGCAGGGACTCAAGTTCCGCCCAGCCCTCTGCTAAGGCCCCCCACTTCCCCTTCCCTGGACCTGGTTCAGCTGGTCTGTGAGGCGCAGGAGCACAACCCAGGAGCCCCCAGGCCCTTCACGGCCCACCCCTGGGCACGTGGTATGGAAGGCCCCAAGGGTGGGCGGAGAAAGGAGGCCAAAAGAAAAAGGGAGAAGTGGAGGTTCTTCCCAGCATCGCCTGTCTTCCCGTCCTTCCTTCCGGGCTACTGCAAGGGGGATCCCCGGGAGGAGTGACACGAGGGAGACAGAGAGGACAGGGAGGGGAGAGAGAAAGATAACCGGGGAGAAATGGAAACAGATACAGAGACAGAACAGGAGACAGAAATACAGAGACAGACCAGAGAGTCGGGGGCCGGGGGGGCCAAGAGAAATGGGCAGAAACAGGAGGTGAGGGGCAGAGACACAGAGACCTGGAGACGGGTACAGAGAGGTCCCGGCACCCACAGGACCCCTCCACTCTACGCTCACGGGACAGCTCCACCCCTGCTGGCTGCACTTTGTACCCCAGACCACAGAGGCCCCGAAACAAACACAGGACCCGGAGAGGCAGCCCCTCGGTGGCCACGCTCCTCCAGGCGTGATTTCTGCCCTGGAAGCTCAAGGAGACCTGGGGACAGGTGACACTCATGGGGGAGGGGTGAGCAGCACGTGCTGCCCCCAAAGGGAAAAGCGGGGAATTGCTCGGGGGATTTCAGAGGCTGGGAGTCAAGGCTGGGACTCTCCCATCCAGCTGGGTTTCAGAGAGTGAACTCACATCCTGTCCTGACGTTATGCCTTATTCATTGCGAATTTTTAAGGGTCCCTTTGACTCTTTGTGTTTTAGGGGAATGAGATTGTGGCAGTCACCCTGATTCTTAATCTCTGCTCTGGCCACCCCCTTCCTTGCAATGGGAACCCAGCAATCCAGTCACACGCTTGCTTTGGTCCTGTGCACCTGGAGCTTTTATTCCTGGAGCGACATCTGGGGGGTAGGGACTCAGCTTCTCCAGTAGGGGAGATGGGGTGAGGGGTGGGGTGGGGTCTCGACTGACCAGTGGGAATGATGGAGACAGCCAGAGAGTCAGGAAGGGGCCCAGGGCGCAAGTCAGTGTGTTCGCTGGATGCCCCAGTGCAGGGCCTGGGGTGCGAGGGTGGAGCCGGGAGGACGTGGGGGGGCTGTGCTCAGTGCCCCTGAGCCTGAAGTCTTTGCATCTGTAAGATCTGGCTCAGGATCCGCTGCACGTCTTCATCCATCTGACCCTGGGGTGAGAGAGCCTAGACACTCCTGCCCAAACTTCTCCACTCCCCTCCCAGCCCTGGAGGCCATGAACCTCACCCATGACCAGCCCCCCACCATTCAGGGGAGTGCGAGGCCGAGACAGCAGTCACATTCCCAAAGCCAGGCAGGCACCGTGCTGGGCGGGTGACTCACCTGGATGGCATAGAGGAGGTGGCTCCGATACAAGGCCACCACTGCACTGTGCTCCCTGGCAGCCTCCTGGGGCAGGGGGAAGGGTGCTCAGGAGAACCAGGGAAGTCCCCTACCCTGGACACGTCAAAACGTCTCCTTCGCACCCCAGGCTCCTATTTTGAAGCCAGGCACGGTGATAACCCCGGCTGCTAGAGTACTGAGCTGTTCCCCACACGGCCTGCCCACCAGGCCGTCTCCTAGCACCCCTGCCCTGAGCCTGGCAGGGCCTTCACCTCCAGCTTCTCCTGCAGAGCTTTCACTTGGCCTCGGAGGGCGTCCACTTCCGGGGTGGCTGGGGCTGCTGGCTGGTCCTTCAGGGCCTCTTTAAGGCTGAAGACTTCCTTGGATAGTTCTGTGATCTGGGTTGGGGGAGGGGGTGTCAGTGGTCTCCCCGAGGCCAAGAATGGGGGACAGAGGCCTCTCCACACCATGGGGAAAGGCAGGGCACAGAGGCTTGCAAGGGCCATTCCCATGTAGAGGTCGCAACTGGTCTGGGAGCCGGTCTGGTCCATGAGCTAAGAATAGCCGTCACGTTCTTCATCGGGTGGGCAGGAAGAGTCAAAGAATCGAATTGGGTGACATGTGACAATTACATCAAAATCAGATTTTCCTGTGCATGCCTCAAACTGGTTTCCTGGCCACGCCCATCATTTACATGTCATCCATGGGTGCTTTTCTGACGCAAAGGCAGAGCTGAGTAACACCTGCCCGGCAAAGCCAAAAATACAGCCCATCTGACAGAAAAAGTGGCCAGTTCTGTCACATCCTCTCTGGAGGTATCCGGAGGCCTGGTGGGGCTGGGCTTGAATTCCTTCCTCCCCTTTGACCACTGGAGATGTGGCTTAAAGAACTCCACTGGGCCTCGGTGTCCTTGTTTGTAAAATAAGGGGAATTAGGTCTCGGACCGCTCGGAGCGGTAAGTAGAGATTATGCTGAAGTTGGGCCTGGCCAGCACAGGCGTTCAGCGAATGCGAGGCTTTATTAAAACTGCTCCTGCCCAAGGGTCACGTCTGGAGACACCTGTGACTGCCTTGACAGGGCCCTTCTGTCATTGAGAAGGTGGGATCAGTTCCCCACAGAGAATGAGTGACCTGGTCCTGAATGTTATTGGTGCCAACAGGAAGTAACTCTGCCACCAATAAACCATAATCCCTACCACAGTTTTATTTTCATTTTAGAGGTGGAAACTGAGATTCAGAGACATTAAGTGACTTCTGCGTCATACAGTGAGCGAGGGGATGCCCCTAGGGCTTGGCGGGTCACAGTCCCTGTAGTGATGGGCTGGGTGGCTCTGAATCACTCTTCTCTCTTTGCCTCTTGGAGCCTCAGAATGCTAATCTGGCAAATGGGGATAAAAATGCTTTGTGGGGGCCCTCACTGGTGGCGCAGCGGGTTAAAGCACAGCACTAAGAAGCTTAAGCCACTTCCGCATGAGTTTGATCCCCGCCTGCCCCGGAGGTGACCACATGGCGCGGCAGACCTCTCCTGACCCGCCCGCCGCTCCCCTCAGTGGTGGACTTTGTAGATCTGCCTGTTCTGCTCCCCACTCTGTCCCTGGTGAATCCTCTCACCCTCCGCATCTCTGGCCTGTACCCCAGCTCTATATGAATAAATAAATAAATCTTTAAAAAAAAATGCTTTGTGGGGCCTCCCTAGTGGAGCAAGGGGTTAAGTCTCAGCATTATGAAGCTATCAGCAGCCCCTGCAGCACAAGTTCAATCCCCGGCCAGGGGGCAGACCCACAGGGCACAGCAGAACTCTCCTGTCTCCCGGCTGCTCGCCTCAGCAGTGTACTTCATCCATCTGCCTGTTCTGCTCCCCATTCTCTGGTGAATCCTCTCACCTCCTGCACCTCTGGCCTGTTCTTGTATGCATAAATAAACAAATCTTTTTTAAAAATGCATCATGGCTCATAGAGTTGTAAGGAGACTGAAAGTAACAGAATGCGAAAAACACCCACTCAAGAAGCACAGGCTACTGATATCGTCATTTGTATTATTTAAGAACAGAACTTAAAAATCTAGGTGGGCACCTGGCTGGACCAGGGCATGCTGTGTGTTGTTGGGCACATGGCCTCGCCTCTCTGTGCCTCAGACTACCACTTGGAAAGTGGGCTGGTTTCCCAAGACTCCTTGAGCTGGGCCATTCTTGGGTTCACCCCAACCTCCACTGAACAGGGGCCCCCTCACTGTGCATAGAAAAAGAGGGACACACCTTCTTGTCTTTCTCCTTGGCCCTGTCCAGGGCCTCCTGTGCCCGGCTCTGGGCCTGGCGTGCCCGCTCCGCCTCGGTCCGCAGTCCCCGAAGCTGCTGCTCTGCCGTGGCCAGCTGGGCCTCAGCCGCGTGCCTCTCGCTCTTCATGAACAACGCCTCCCGCTGCACCTGTGCCCAAGCCCAGGGTGGCCCTGAAGACATTCGAACCCCAAAACTGTCGGGATCATAAAGTTGTTCTGACTCTTCCATTTTGGCCAAAGGATATTTACGCGCGTTTTGACTTGAGTTTGACTCAGGAAAGTTCTGGATTCCCTTTGGCACTGTATTTTGTAACCCTGCCAAGCACCTGTGGCCCATGAGCTGCGCTGCTTTAGATAAGTGACTTAACCTCTCCTCTTAAAAAACGAGAATAGCTCACAGGGTGGTTGTGAGGATAAACTACGTTAAGTACTTGGGGGTGCTTTAGAGTAGCGCTCGGTACTGACACTTGCTACCCAGGAAGTGCTAATGTGAGTTGGTGACATTATTGCTGCTGTCACTGTCATTAACGTCATCACCATTATGGGGGCCTCCCTCGACTCACAAAGATGAGCAGCCATGATCCTACCTCACACCATACAGCCAAACTGGAGATGAGCACAGAGGGGAGTGGGAAGCGAAAGCACTAAAGATGCTACAAGCAGACATGAAAGGCGGCCTCCGTGGCCTGGGGTGACACAAAGGTTTTATGAACAGATCACAAAAGCACTAAACATTAAAAAGAAAGAAGGATGGGGCCAGAACACCGCGTGTTTTCGGGGCCAAGCAGGCCAGCACGCGTGTGCCGGCGGGAGTCCCGGCCCTCTCACCTGGAAGACCTCAGCGCTGGTCTTCTCGTGGCGCCGTCCCAGGTCCTCCAGCTGCCCCTCCAGTCGGGCCACGTCGGCCTGCAGGGCGCCGACTATGCGGTCATGCTCCAAGCGGGCCACGCTGCCCACACGTTCCCGCTCCAGCTCCGCCCGCAGCCGGGCAGCCTCCTTGCCTGTGGCTACCACCTCCTGCTCCAGGCTGGCGGCCCGACCCCGCAGCTCCAGGGCCTCCTCCTGCAGCCGGTGGTGCGTGGCGGCCGGCACTGCTGACTGGCGGAGGGCCTCGGAGGCCTCCCGCAGCTCGGCCAGGCCCCTTCGGGCCTCCTCACAAGCTGTGGCCAGCTCAGCTGCCCGGGCCTCAGCTGCGTCCCGGGCTTGGCCCAGCTCGGCCGCTGCTGCCCGGTGCTGCTCCCCCGTGGCTGTGGCAGTGGCCAGCTGCTCCCGCAGCACCTCCAGCTCCCGGCTCTGCTCCAGCCTTACCTCCTCTCGCTGGGCCAGCTCCGCCCGCAGGCCCCGGGCCTCCTCCTCAGCCAGCAGCCGGCCAGCCCTGGCCTCATCCAGGTAGGCGGAGGCGGCCTCCAGCTCTCGGAGGCGGCAGTCCCGAGCTCGAAGGTCCTCCCGGGCCTGCTCCAGGGCTGCCCGAAGTTGGACTGTGTCCCCACCGCAAGCTCTGCTGACCTCGATGCTCTCGGCCCCGCGCACCTGCTCCCGCAGCCGGCCGGCCTCGGCCTCGGCAGCCTCACACTTGCCACGGGCTGCTTCCAGCTCAGCGGCTGCCTCCCGCTCCCGCTGCCGGAGCGCCTCCTCCAGGGCACGAATTCTGGTCTCAAGCTCTGCCTGCAACCTTTCCGAGGCCTCGGCTGCACCAGGGTGTAGGACAGGGTCAGTGGGAAAAGTGGGGGCAGTGGCCTCCTCTCTCGCTGTCTCTGTGTCCTTGGGGCCCATGTTCCCCATGTTCACAGTCTCCACACCCGCGAGCTCTGTCTCCACAGCGCCCACTCCACCAGCCTTCATCTCCGGCCCCTCTGCCTTCGTGTTTGTGGCCTCTGCCTGGCCTCCTCTCTCGCGATCAAGGGCTTTCACTTCTGTGACCTCGGTCCCCTGAGGTTTTGTTTCTGAGGCCTCAGCCCCAACACCCTCTGCTCCCATGGCCTCAGCATCCGTGGGCTTTGTCCCTGTGGCCTCAGCATCCGTGGGCTTTGTCCCTGTGGCCTCCACATCCGTGGGCTTTGTCCCTGTGGCCACTGCTCCTGTGGCTGCTGTTTCTGAAGTCCCAGTTTCTACTGTTTCCACGCCTGTGGCCTCCTCTTCAGGAGCCTCCACTCCGTTAACTTTGGTTTCTGCAGCTGAGGTGCCATCACACTCTGCTTCCACGGCCCCATTTCTGGTGGTCTTGTCTCCTGTGCCATTGTGCTCCCCGGGGGCTGTCCCCTCTTCTCTGGGGGTCCCCTGTGCTTCCTGCTGCTCCAGTGCCCGCAGGGCCTCTGCGTGCTCCCTGCGCAGCTGATCAAACTCAGCCCGGAGAGAGTCGTAAAGGGCCAGAGGGATGACCTCAGCCAAGCCGTTTGCCTCCATCTCATCCTTCTCGAAGTTCTCTAGGATCTAGGAAGGTAGGGGGGCTAACGGGTGGCCGAGCCCCCTTCCCTGCCCACTTGCTCAGCAACATGTCCACCCAACCAGTGAGGAAATAACCCCTGGGATACTCAGATCTGCTCCGCCCTACTCTTTGGGCCTGTTTCCCCACCTGGACCTTCTCCAGAAGTTCCTGGTTCTGTCTGGTGAGCGCAGCCACCTGCTCCCGCAGTGAGGCCAAGAGATCCCGGGACGCTGGGCTGAGTCGCGTGGAGAGCAGTGCCTCGGCCCCTGGCAAGGATACAGAGTCAGTCCTCAGGTCCCAGGCTGCAGGGGGCAGTGCTGGGGGTCTAGAGCCGAGTCAGGGTCCCCAGGGCAGGCAGCTTGGGGAAATGGAATAGTGGGTAAGGGCCAACCTCCTGCCCTGTCAGACTGTCATACATGGTGGTCAAGTCTTGCTCCCAGGGCCGCTGGGACAAGGTGGGCAGGGGGTGGGGGTGAGGACAGGGCGGGGGGTGGGGCTCACCTGGAGAGTCAGGCAGCTCACCCTCCTCGTCCTGCAGGGTGGCGACATCATAGCTGGTATTCTCCTGCTCATTCTGGAGGTGGGGGCCGGGGCTCTATTCAGGGTCCTGGCCCCCCCTCCTTCCCCCCACCCAAGCATGTGGAGTGAACGGAATATCTTTATGACACCCTGCAGTTATCAGAATGGCTGTCTTGGCCCACAGGGATTTATTAAGTGCCCACTGTGTGCCGGGGACTTTGTTGGGCACCTTGGGGAACACAGTCAATGACCCAGCTGCTCTGGTGCGTAACCATGACCCCAACCATGGGGGTTGTCCATGTAGTGTGGTTTGCAGAACTATGCGGTGGTGGGGAGCATCCTCACCCCGGGGGTTCTGTGTCGAGGTTGCGGGGGGCCCAGGGTGTCTGCGGCCACGTGTGCACTCACAGGCGTTATTTTTTGGCCTGGCATCAGTGGGTGTGATGAGCATGTGTGCCCCACAGCACCTCTCCTGCGTGAACGTCTGTGACTGTGTGATTCTGCTTTTGTGCTTTAGTCCGCTGTGTGTGCGATGAGTAGGCTTGTGTGTGTTTGTGTATATGTGTTCCTGGGTGTGTCTGTGGATGGGAGTATGGCCGACTGTGAGTATCTGTGCAGTGATGTGTTTTCAGCGATATCTGCGTACGTCTAAGTTTCTGTGGGTTTGACATCTGTGTATGATTAACTGGGAAGAATCTGTTGTGTGCACGTTGATATTGGTGATGTTTGCGTATGTGATTCTGCGTTCACAGAGGTGTTTGTGGGCATTTACCTGGAATGCGTGCAGGTAAGACTACAGGCACGGGAGCGTGGCTGTCCATCTGCACGTACATGCGTGTTACCGTATGTTCCGAGAAGTGTCTACTGAGCGTTGCTGCTGTGGTTGTATGTTTGCTGTTTTGGTGTTTACACATGTGGAAGCCATGCGCATGAGTGTGGTCCCCATGACAGGCACAGCTCTGCTGGGGTGCCCGCAACCCACTTCCTCGCACAGGGCACCCCACCTCCATCAGAGACAGTCGGCTCTGCAAACTTTCCACCTCTCGCCCCAGACTCTCCTTCTCCTCCTGCTTCTCTGCCAGCAGCTGCTGTAGCTCTTGCACCTGGCAGGAGGGTGACACAAGGCTCAGCTGGCCTCCTGGAGAGACCCTGGACAACCAGGATCCCGCTTCCCTCCACCTGCCACCTACCTGTCTCTCCAGGCTGTGGAGGGAGCTGGCTTCTGCCTCTGGCAGCTGATGAGAAGAGAGAAAGGGCTTGTTTGTGGGTGGGGAGAGGGGTCTCCTCTGCCTGCTTGGGCTTAGCAGCCCCCCATTCATCCACAGGTGCACACCCAGCGCTGTGTGCCCTCACTCACGCCGCAGGAAATTACGAAGCACCTTCTCTTTGCCAGGGACTGCTCTGCTCACTCAATTGTTGCTAAGTATTTATTGAGCACCTCGTATATGCCAGCCACTGTTCTAACTGCTCATACACTGCTACTCACTACTGAGCACCTACTGTGTGCAGGTATCATTTCATTACTGTTTACTGAGTGCCTACTGTGTGCCAGGTACATTCTTCCCAACCACCTTTGTCGATTGTCATTTTATGCCACTATTTCACTCATTCATTTACCAACTATTTGCTTATCCTGTAATTATCAGGCATCTACTGTGAGCCATGCCCAACCTTGTGTGCTCACAGTCCAGCAGGTGAAGAGGAATTAAATATATGCTATGTCCAATAGCAATAAGCACCCAGATAAAAATAAAGAGAACTAAGAAGTGAGCGTGGACGACGATGTGACAGTTTTAAATAAGATGGGCGAGGGTGGTGTCCTCTTTGAGCAAAGATCTGCAAGAGCTGCAGGAAGTTGCCATAGGACATCTGGAAGGCGAGTATTCCAGAGGCACAGTCTGTGCAAAGGTCCTGGAGCAGGACCACACCCACTGTGTTGCAGGAACAGCAGAAACCTGTGAGGCTGGAGCAGAGTGGGGAGGAGGAAGGCTGGAGAGGCGGGGAGCGGGGGTCCCTTCCCTAGAAGCATGTCCTGCCAGGCTCAGTCCCGGGCCTCTGTCTCCACCGGCCCTCACCTCCTGCTTCCTCCGTTGCTGGTGCTGCTCCAGGCCCCGGATCTTCTGCAGCAGGCGGCCCTTCTCCTGTCGCAGCCGCACAATCTCCTCATAGGCATCTCGATCATCCTGTTCTCCCCACCCGGGGGCCCCCCCCACCTTCAGATAGATCTCAGGGTTGCCCCCCTCTGATGCCTTCACCAGAGTTACCGCCCACTTTGGCCTGGGAGGGTTCCCACGACTCCCCATGGCTAGGGCATCTCTCACCGGCATAGGGGTACTGGCAGGGGGCTGAGGTGCCTTCCGCTTCTTGGGACCCCCTCGCTTTTCATGACTGGACACAGAGTTCTGGGGAGGGGTGAAGGGAACACTGGGGGACATACCAGCCTCCCACTCAAACAAAACGCGGCCAGTCAACCCAGGCAGCCCGCTGTCACTCACTGCCCCAGCTCTGCCCTCACTTTCTGTGTGATGCTGAGCAAGTCTCTGCCTCTCTCTGGTCCTTAATTGTCCCTGCATAAAAGCGGATGAGGCCACATCCCCTGGGAGCTCCAGATCTTATTCTTTACTCTCTCTTCCTCTGCACGCCTTGGTACGTGCCTCAGCTAAACCAGATTATAAGTTTCTTTTCTCTGTGGAAATGGCAAAGAGAAGGGGCCAGATCTGCTCCCTTTGACTATACCAGCGGTCAGCAACTGCAGCCTCTTCCTCCCCCCAACTCCGGACCTCATGTGCCCCCAGTGTTCTCACCCAGTTCTGGGCGGTATGCTGTGGGTATGCCGCCACTTGGTGGCAGCATGCCAGGAAGGTACCATTGTTCACAGGTTCTCCCAGTTCATCATCCTGGGCCACAAGTCCATTTCGCCCTTGACTTCCCGCGAGCCTGGGCAGGGGAAGGAGGCAGAGGCACAGGGAAAGGGACCCTTTCACTGCTTAGAGGTTCATACCTGAGATGATGCCTCGCCTGAGTCATCCTCTAGGAGGGCAGAGGAAAGAAGGAAGCAGGTCAGGGCCTCTGTCCTAGGGACTCATTTCCAGTGGTAGGAAGGGGATTAAATGCCTAGGGGTCTTTGGGGGAACTCCCAACTCCCCGAGAATCAGGATTTTTTAAGTCTATCACTTTGGCAGAATGACAATAAAGGGTAATTGGCATCTCCAGGATGGGGTGGGTGGGTGCCAATTCTTAGGGAAAGGCAAACACCTAAAACTCAGGATGCCCTAGGGGAGCAGAGTGACCTTAGACCATTCTAAAAGCTCTTGGGCTCCTTGAAAATGTCCTGAATTGGGAAGACGTAACAGTGACACCTGGAAAGCATCCAGCATCCACAGCAGGGAGAAAAAGGGGTGACAAGAAACTGCCCAGAAGGAGGTGGGGTGACTGAAAATGCCTAGGAGGCTGGACTTGCATACCGCTGGGGGGGGAGGGGCGCTGGGCCGCCTCCTGTAAGAGGTGCAGGATGAGTTTGTCCCCTGCTAGGGCGCCATAGTGGGCAGCATCCTGGCCCAGTGTGTCGGTGATAGCCGGCTGGGCCCCGCCCTGCAGCAGCACCTCCACTGTTTCGGGACTGGCCCCCTCACAGGCCAGCATCAGCGCAGTCCTACGAGGAGAGGGGTACTGAGATGGGGAGGGGTCCTCTAATCCGCGTACGCCCTCCTCAACACGGCACTTGGGTGAGGGAGGAGGCCCACCAGATAGATCCCCCCATTAAGAGTCCTGCCCAAGGTCACAGCACACAATGGACCGGCTGGGGGGGAAGATGCTCACCTGCCCTGCAGGTCCTGGTCATTGGCGGCAGCCCCCTGCTGCAGGAGAAGGCGGCACAGATCTGTGTGACACATCTGCGCTGCTATGATGAGGGGCGTCGCACCTGACTGGCGGGGGGCGTTTGGGAGAGGGATGAGACAAGGGGTGAGCAGCTGGGGAAACTTTCAGGACGACCCCTGAACGCCCCTCCAAACCTCTTGACACTTTTAAGAGCGTGTCTGGAATGCTGCCCCCTGGTGGCAGCGGACGGTATCGTTCCCAAAGAGATCCCAGACTCACGCGATCTCGAGGGTTTAGATGTGCCTTGAAGGAGCAAAGCATTTCTGAGCAGGCGATGCAGCCACCAGCCGCTGGAAAAAGAAGCAGGGGGTAGACAGGGCAGGGCGGAGGCATCTGCCGAGGTCCTTCAGCTCCAGTGTGATTCTTATTCTTTCTTTCATAAGAAATTCCCATAACAGGGCCCTCCCTGGTGGCTCAGGGGTTAAAGCACAGCACCATGAAGCTACCACAGCCACTGAGCTGACCCACAGGGTGCGGCAGACCTCTCCTGACACGCCCACTGCTCCCCTCAGCAGTGTATTCTTGTTCATCTATCTGTTCTGTGCCCCACTCTGTCTCTGGTGAATCCTCTCAACCCCCCACTCCTCTGACCTGTACCCCAGTTCTGTATACATACATACATAAATAAATTCCCATAACAGAGTTATGACTCCTAGCTTATAGTTGAAGAAACTGAGGCCCAGCCAGGCCTCTGGTGTCCCAGTAGAGTCAGAAACAGAACCACAATTAAGACCCAGGTCTGCTAATTCCTAGTCCCAAGCTTTTTTCACATCCTATCACGGTTCCCTTTTAAGATGGAACCGCTAGGTGATTTTCATCATTTCCCCTCTTACTCAACAGTGTTTATTGCATACCTAATGTGCCCAAACCCTCACACGGAAAGCATTAATATTGATTGGACAATGTCAGATGTCAGCTGAGGCTGGGAACAGCTTCTCAAGGCTTGATCTGAATTCTGAGTCTTGAAGGTAAAAGGGGATAGCAGAGGTCTGACACGCGCAAGGGTCCTGAGCGGGGAAGCAGTTTGGTGAGATGAAGGAGGTGGGAGCCGTGTGGCCTGTATGTCCAGAGCCCAGCGGGAAAGGAGGGCTTTGTACAAGGCTAGAGAGTAACCGACTCCACGGGGAAATCTGCTGTGTGCTCAGGAGGAAACAAGTTTTTGTTTGCTGCTGCAATCGCAATGCTTAACATAGCAAGTGCTCAATAAATACTGCATGGAAAATCACCGATGTGCTTCAGTTTGGCCAAAGGCATCACCGCCACTAGGTGACAGCGTACTCCAACTGCAGGAAACCTTTAAGCTAACAAAACCCTCAAAGCCAACCCAAATTTCTCCACTATGTCCACTGAAGGGCTAGTGGACAGAGGCTGGGCTGGCTTCCGGCTCAAGTGTGTGGATCCCTTTTCTTCTCTAAAGGAAGGGGTTTGGAGCTGGTTATGAAGCTGCTGGGACCCTGACCCCCGGAGAAGCTCCTCCAGGGAGATGCCACTCCTCCCGCGGCACTGTTTTCACCTGGAGAAGGGCCCCGCCACAAGAACCTTCAAGCCTAGCACCCCGGGTTCACAGTGGGCAGGGCAAGGCTGGGCTGTACCCACCTGCATGGTGCAGGGCTGTCCACCCGCTGCTGTCCACAACGTCCACCAAACAGGAGGCCTGGGGACCGAGGGGCACGTTAATGGAACAGGACTATCAGCCTTCATTGCCTGGTTTCTCCAGGACTTCCCCTCCTTGGGGTCTGCTGTATTGCAGGTTCCCAGCCTCACCCCAAACCCTCGCCACCTGCTCAGCCCACGTCCTCACCAGCCCTCTGCGTAACTTTCTTGGCTTTAGTGAAAATTGTTAAGAAACAGGGTCTAACTGGGAACTGGGTAGCACCTGGAAGATTGGGGAAAAGCTCTGAGAATGGCTTTGACTATGAAAGTTGGGGTTTGGGGAGAAACTGGGGCCCAGGAAGTATCTGGTAACAGGAATGTATCTTGGCTGTGGGAAGTATCTGGACAGTGAGGAAGTATCTGGTTGTCCAGGGAGTAGCTGGGTCTCAGGAGTTAAAGGGACCATGGAGTATCTAGGGCTTAGGGAGTATCTGAGAGTTCAGGGAGTTGCTAAAACTCAGGAGTAGCCAGAGCAAAGGCATATTGGAGCTAAAGGATGGCATTATCTAGGACTCCAGGAGTATATGAGACAAGAGAATAAATGACCTGTAGCAGCTGCTTCAAGCACTCTGGGTGTCCATACTTGGCAGCCAAGTGGAGGGCACTGTAACCTGAAAGGAAGAGATTTTCTAGGACTGAAGATACTCCAGGACCTTCACTGCTCCCCAAACCTGTGTCAACTAATTGTGATGAGTTCTTTCCCTATTGTCTCAATTGTAGCAAGTCCCCAAGTTCCATGGAGTTTCAAAACTGCTGCATCCTGTGGTCAGATTCCATCTGATCTATGTCAAAGACAATTTCACCTCAGCTACCCTCATACCCACCCACTCCTCAAATTCTACGGCTCCAGCTACTCCTCCGAACCCAGCTACTCTCTATGCTCAACTATAATCACTATAATCATAACAACAGGAATACATTTTGAGAAAATCAGCAGTAGGTGATTGTCAAATGTCATTGTGCAAATGTCAGAGTATAACTGCACAAATTGGATTATATAGCCGACTCCACGCCGAGGTCAGAGGGTGGCATCTCCTGGGCCCCTCCCCCATCATATATGCCACCTATACATGCATCATCAAATATGTCACTGACTGAAACATCAAGTGATGCATGACTGCATACTGAAGCTCCAGCTTTTCCCTTCAGAATTCTGTTGTTCCATATGTTCCTGCTAATGCACATACCTGTTTCAGGTATAGTCCTGTCTAGAACCTCCAAATACTCCACATACCCCAGGACATTATGCTTGTTGCCCTGAAGTTTCAGACAAAGCCATGTCATCCCATGGCAAGCTACCCCCTGAACTCCAACTACTGGCCATGAATTACCATTTATTCCCTCAGGTCCCTAGTTAAGCCATTCCCCCAGATTCTCCTTTGCCCTAGCTACTCCCAGAGCTCCAGTTACTTCTAAACCCCGGCTACTCCCTGAACCTCAGTTACTCCCCAAGCTCGACTTGCTATTTACATGCCCCTATGTACTTCTCAAAATTAGGTATGTTTCAAGATCAGCTACTCCTCTGCCACATGATCCAGCTACTTCCTCTGACTCAGCACTATCCAAGGACCAGTAACTCCCACCCATGTGAACTCACCTTGCTTGGTGTCCTTGAGCACTGCGGCCTGACAGGCCACCATGCCTCCCTGGGGACCCTGAGCAGAGCCCTCTTTGATAAGCAAGTTTTTGAATCAGGGAGAGACTGGACCCTCTGGCTGGGCACCTGGTCTGAGCTTGTCCTCCCTCCCCAGGGTCCCATGGGCAGTACCTGCCCCATCCGTGCTCATGACGTTGGTGCCGTGGGCCAGCATGACCTCTAGACAGCTGGCTGCACCCCTCATGGCCGCCAGGTGGAACCTGGAGGTCAGAGAGCAGGGTCAGCCACAGGGTAGCACCACTCAGCCATCACACCCCAGGAGGCAGGCACTCACGCAGACTTGCCCTCGGGGTCCAGCTTCGTGGGCACCAGCCCCTTGCGAGAGATGAGGGCAGCCACCCGAGTAGAGTCATTGTTCTCCACAGCCTGCAGCAGCCGCTCGTCGCTTTTGCCCCAGTCCTGGCTCTGCAGGGCACACCCAGAAGAGCATGGGCCCAGGCGGGCAGCTGCCCCCTCCCCACTCCCCCAGCAGGGGCTCTGGGCTCTCTCCATTCGCCCACCTCTGGGCACTTGCCTGGCGCCTGCCTCTGGCTGTGGGCTTCGGGATGGGGCAGGGGCCGCAAGGTGGGCAGGAGCCTAGGTCAGTGGGGCTGAGCCGCAGCTGCAGGGGGAGGTGGTCCTAGGTGGGGTTCTGAGACAGCCTCCCCCAAAGCTGCCAGCTCCCAGCACCTGCCCCCAGGTCTGTGGCCCAGCACTGTTCACGGAAACATTCCCAGATCAGCCCCAGCACCCCTTTCCCAAAGGCGTCCCCATACCTAGACCTCCAGCCTGTCCTTAGTGGACAGCCACCCACCCTCACAGACACACCCACTGGCCCTGTGTCCTCCATGGCTTCCAGAGTCTTCCCACAGGACACCTTCAGAGGGTTCCTTTAAATGTCCCTCAGAACCGCCCCTGTCATTTATCCTTCTACAGCCACTGTTGAAAAGACCACAGTCGTCCCCCAAATGTCCTCAGACCTCTTCACCCACACTCTTGGCCTAAACTGCATCCCCCAAAAAGTCTCCCCCAAATTCCTGAATGTCCTCCAAAATCATCGCCCCAAATGACCTCATCATCTGTCTTGTCCCAAATCCCACAAATGTTCTCTGAAACTGTTTTCTTAACGTTACTCTCTCCCCCAAACGACCTCTAAATTCTAAGTGTCCCCATCTGTTCTCAGAACTGTCTCCCCTAATGTCCCCCCACCCTCCGTTTCCCACCCCGCCCCCTGGCCACCTCCCTCCTGGCACCTCCTTCCAGGGTTGGGGGACTGGCTCAGGCCTGGCATGGTCAGCAGGCGGGAGTGGAGAGGAAGGGCCGCGCCTAGCCGCCCAGCCCAGCGCCCCCGCCCCGGCCCTACCGCGAAAGAGGCGGCAGCACACAGGCACAGCTGCTTCATGGCGTCCTGGCGCCGGCAGCCGGCAGCAGGAGTTGTTGCCGGACGCAGGGACGGGCAGGTACTGCTGGACCTCGGCTGCCCGCTGCGTGGTCCTGCCCGGCCAGCCGGCGCCGCCCCCTCCGGGCCGCGCCCCCCCGCCCCCCCCATGGTCCCTCCCCTACCGGGCGAGAAATGGTGCCCGCTGGGATCTGGGATCTGGGATCTGGAGGAGGGACACCGCCCTGGGTGGGGAGGGGGGGAAGAAGGGTAGAGGAGGGGGGAGGAGGAGGAGGAGGCCAACAGCACCCCCCACCTCCAGGTGCCCAGGAGCTGCCTCTAGTACCTCACGGGTCTGGCCAGGGATTGGGTCTGGCCAGAGATCGCAGGGGAGCGGGCATGGGCCCTGGATATACAGAGCCCTCCACTGCCCACTCTGCCACCAGGCTCTGGCTCACTCATTCACTCATTCACCCACTCATTCATTCACTCATTCATGTACTCACTCATTCATTCATTCACTCACTCATCCACTCATTCACTCACTCATTCATCCACTCACTCATTCACACACTCATTCACTCACTCACTCATTCCCTCACTCATTCATTCACTCACTCACTCACTCATTCAATCACTCATTCATCTACTCATTCACTCATCAGCCAGTGGGAATGGCCAGTCCCAAAAACCTGAATTTGAACCCACGCCTGCCCTCTGTACCACCTCCTCTGTCCCCCACATTTAGGGGTGTCAGCCAAGATACTTACCTGCTTTGCATTTCACTTTCCTCCTCCAGGAAGTGGGTTTCATAATAACTGAACCTACTTCAGGGTTACTAAGAGCCTAAAGGAGATACTGGAGGCTTGGCGGTGCCTGGCACACAGTAGTGTGTTATTCCTAAGCCAGCGTTCGTTTATCAACAAAAGCCACGGCTGGATCCACATCTCTACTGAACCCTGGGCTGCCAGGACATAGTAAGTGCTCAGTTAAATCATTCAGAGTGACTTAAGGGGTGGGTGGGACTGTGTACCTCTGGTTCTGTTCTCAGACTGGGAGCCCCTGGAGAGCACAACCTGGGGCCCAGGGCCTGTCACCCCAAGGCAAGGGCCTGCCACCCCCCGGCAAGGGTGGGGGAGTTGGTAAACATTTACTGAGTTCATCATGCTCCCAAGGACAAGCACTCTGACTTACAGGAATTTAAATCATTCAGTCTGTTTGTCCAATGGGTGCTTGTCACTAGAACTCAGTGGCGACCAGCTGCAATGGCAAAGTCGAGCCCAACTGGCCTGCAAAGCCACAAATGTTTACTGCCTGACCCTCAGAGGGAAATCTGCCCACCCTGCTCACAGTGGCCCCACTATCATCGCCAAGCTCATCCTCTCCTTCCCAACGGTCCAACCCACCTGGCCACAGCAGCCTCCTATGTGGCCCTCAAACAGCTTGACCCCACCTTCAGGCTTTGCCTTTGCTGTGGCCCTACCAGAAGCACCCACCTCCCCAAAATGGCCCACATGACTGATTCCTTTACTGTTGTCTGCACTGGAAGACACCTCTTCCAGAGCCTTCTCAGGCTATCCCTGGCCACTCACTAGCCCCTAACCAGGACTTGTTTTTCCTTCTTCTTCATATCACCACCTGAGCTCCTACTATGGACCTGCTTGACAATGTTATTTCCTCTTGGTCTCTCCTCTTTAATGTCATCTCCATACTCACAGGGACTTTGGTCTAGGTCACTGCTTTATCATCTAAGGTGGGACCACTTAGAGAATCTTTAGGGCCCAGTGCAAAAGGAAAATAAGGGGGCCCCTCCCTCCCTGGTGGTACAGTGGGTTAAAGCACCGTACTATGAAGCTGTCTGCAGCCACTGCAGCACGAGTTTGATCCCTAGCCAGGGAGTGACCCACAGGGTGGAGCAGATCTCTCCTATCTTGCCTGTTGCTCCCCTCAGCAGTATATTTTAGAAGACCTGCCTGCTCTGCTCCCCACTCTGTCTCTGGTGAACCCTCTCACCCCCATACTTCTGGCCTGTGCCCAGTTCTTGTGTGCATGGATAAATAAAACTTTAAAAAAGCAAAAAGAAAGAAAGAAAATGTGGGGCCCCGGCTCCAAAGTATTAAGGCTGTCAAGACTGTAAGAACAGAGCACTAACTCAAGCCAGGGCCCTCCCAAGTGTGGGTCCCTAAAGCCAGGATTGCCAGTAAGCCTGGCACACAGTAAGACCTTAGTCAATGCATGTTGAATGAATGTAAGACACAGAGTGACTCTGAAGAATAAACACAGAAGAGAGATTCCAGGAAGCATGAAAACATTGGGAGTCTATGAGTCTAAAAACAATACCAATCTCTTACCCGTGAGGTTTTTCTAAAACCTGAAGTAAAGGCAGGAAACCCAGAGCCTAGGCCCAGGGCACCAGTTAAATCCATCGTATGGATGGAAGCCTGAGGCAGGGAGAGCCAGGATGCTCAGCACCAGAGCCTTGGTAACAAGAGTGGGGGGGAGCGGGGGAGGGCTGGCCTTAGACAAGCAGCAGGGGCCTGGCCGGTGGCTGGACTGTGTGTGCCCAGAGGCAATGAAAGGCCCAGAGAGACAATGGTGGGCCTGGCAGTCAGGGGTGTTTGCTTTCTTCCCTGGGGGAAAGAACAAAAGACCAAGCCTGAACCCTTGCCAGCTGCCCGCTGGGAAACTGGAGCTGGAGGGTGGAGGGGGGACAGTGAGCTGGCATGGGGAGCCAGGGAGCTTGGAGGGCACTAGGCCACCCCGCCCCCAGGCCTTGCATCTGTTGCCACCTCACTCACGCACCCAGGCTCTTCCCAGCTTGATGCAAACAGGTCTCAGCCCACCCAGACACCTGACATCCCTCAGACCCTCACACCTGCCAGCCCCCCACACCCCTGGAGCTTCGGCCAGGGACCTACTAAACACACCCAGGTCCCAAATTCGGTGTCTTGTTTTTATTTTGTAGCTGCACACGCTTTGGAAGGATTTGCTTTCAATGTCATTCTGCTTTTGAAATTGGACCAATTCCACGGTTTGGTTTACCACTGGCTGTGACTTCTTGGGAATTCTTGGAGGGAAATATGAACACTCTCCCTCCCTCCCTAACCCCCACCCTCCCGCTCCCTCCCCGGGCCCTCCCTCCAATGCACTCCCCAGGGTTCTTCTTAATGGCCAGCCTGAAGGAAGGCCAGGTGTCTCCTTTCCTGCTGTGAGACCACAGCAAACTCCTCTCCCCAGCTAGGCCAGCGGGGTGTCATGAAAGGTTCAACCCCGTAAGACAGGAGGCTTAAATGAACTGACCTCTGCAAAGCACAGGGTCAGCTGCTGAGTGTGTTTGAAAAGAAATAAATAAAAGCAAAATCCAGATGAAACAAAAACTCAATGACCCTAAATGTCTAAAAATGAAATTTGAAGTATTCAGAATGTGCAAAGGATGGTTTAAGTGAATAAACACTACCAGTAAGTATGTTGGAAAAGCTGAGGAGGTGACAGACCAGAGGCCCCGGCAAGGAGGCAGAGGGAGCAGGGAGGGATCTGAAGTGAGAGCTGCCTGCCTTTAAAGCGGGGCTCCTCACACTGGCCCCCTTAGGTTTCCAGAGACTCTGGCGCCTGGTCACCTGCCATTGTGGCCCTCAACCAACCTGCCAGCCTCCAAAGTTTGCCCACACGGTCCCCACCCCACCCCCACCTCCACTTGTCTGTGTTTTCCCTCTTCTCCCAGGCTCCACCCAGTGCTGGGCCCCCCCATGGCTCTGGGTGGTGGAGGGGCAGGGGCTCCAAAGTCTGCATAGTGGGTTTGAATCTCAGGCGCTTCCACTTTGTGTTGTGACTGGGAGAAGTAAGTTTCCCTCTCAAAGCCCCGGATTGTTTGTGCTGTTAAGTGAGAGGCCAGCCAGCAAGGGGCACTCAGGAGGGCTGGCTGCCCCTCCCGCTGGGTTCTCACCATCTGCACCCTGAACTCGCCTGCATATTGGCAGGACTTGGGTGGGAGTGGGGAAGACAGAGGCAGCACTGCTCTCAGGGCTTCACGGTGTGAGCTAAGGCTGCCAGGGGCGCCAGCTGGCTCTCACCTCAGGGCCTTTGCACCAGCTGTTCCTGCTACCTGGAAGGCAACTCCTGCGAACCCCTCCCTTCCCTTCTGATCTTTACTGGGGAGCCCTTTCCTAATAACCTACTTAAAAACTGCGACATCACCACTGCCAAGGGCAGTCCAATTCTCTTGCCTTATTCGACTCCATGGCATAAAAGTTGCCTTTTCAAGTATTTGTCTTGTCTGGTGCCAACTTCCTGACTGGCTGTCCACTGTGAGTACAGGGGTATCTGCCCTAGTCACTGCTGTTTCCTGTGTGCCCAGAACAGCACCTGATACAAATATTTGCTGAATAAAAGCATAAAAGCAAGGCATCAAGGGCTCTGAGAAAGTAAGTTCTAGAAAAGCAATCGGTCTCTGCAGCTGAAGTCAGAGATTTCAGCCAAACTGGAAAGCAGGCGGGGCTCCTGATGAATGTTAGTGCACTGACAAGGTGGTCCAGATAGCGAACAGCCTGGCCAGAGGTTTGGGGCTGGGAAGCTTGGACAGGAAGCAGTGAGGGGGGAAGGCAGAGGAGAGCAAAGGAGGGGCAGGTGGACAGAGGCTTCAGGGCATAAGGTCTGGGCCGGGTGCTGGGGAACCTCGGAAGCATTTTCAGCAGGGTCACAAGGAAGCTGCCCAAGGAATCTGACAGGGAGCGAGGACAATGGCCCAAGAGCCCGAGGGTCTTCAGCCAGTGCCCAGGGGGCGGGGTCCTCATGTTGGAGGACATTTGGCATCTCAGTGACTCAGACTCACCTCTGTCTTCTTGAATCGTGCCCGGAGAGTTTTCATGGCCCGCGTCTGGAGTTTCTCCACTCCCCAGGTCACCTGGAGAAAAGGAAGCGAGGGACAACAGTCCTGCGGGCTGAGTCACTGCCGCCTTCTCCCCAGATGGACCACACTCCTCTCCCCGGGCCACCCTGCCCCTAGGGCAGGACACAGACCTACCCCATCTCCTAACTGCTGCGTGTCCTCTGGCAGGTCACTTGCCCTCTCTGAATTTCATATCCCTCATCCCTAAAATTATGGAGATAATCCCCTCCCTACCAACTTGGCGGTTTTCAGGGAGGTTTCTAGCACAGAGCCTGGCAAACAGTAGGTGCTCAATAAATGTGCCTCATCAGGAACCTTCCTGATGGCACAGGGATCAAAGTGCAGCACCAGGAAGCTGTCTGAAGCCACTGCAGCCTGGGTTTGATCCTGGGCCAGGGAGTGACCCCCAGGGTGCCGCAGACCTCTCCTGACCCACCTGCTGCTCCCTCCAGCAGTGTGTTTCAGTCGATCTGTATATTCTGCTCCCCACTCTGTCTCTGGTGAATCCTCTCACCTCCCACACTTACGGCCTGTCCCCCAATTCTTGTATGTGTAAATAAATATTTTTTTTAATTGTGCCTTATCAGTATTTCCTGTTGCCCAGGTAGATCAAGCTTTTTCAGTTCCCCGAGATTTTATCTCTGCATGTGATATTTTTTACTTCTCTGAACTATTCATCCGTCACTGCCTCGTTTCAAAATCCTGTGTTCTCATCAGTTTTCACTCACCCGCAAGTAGCGCTCTGACTCCCTCAAAAGAGCTCCTGCTGCCCTGGCTGGGTCTCTTCCTCTGCCCCGGGCCCTGGCGCCACAGGGGGGAAGTATCTGGGCTGCTTCTAGACTCCGGACAGTTAGGGGCCCCTTGGTGGCCAGGCCCAGAGCTGAGAACATTTAACACACGCAAAGGCATGTTTCTTGGGTGGTCGGAGCACATCCTTGCAGTGAAGACCCCTGTTCCAGGTTATGCATACGTGACAGCCGGGAGCAAGTGTAGGTCTGGAGTGACAAGTGTCGCACACATGCTTGTACACATCTGTCCCGTGTACTGCTGCATGCTCTGAGTGGGCCTGGAGATGGGGCAGGGGCCAAGTCAAGGGGTCTTGTGCCAGGTGTGTGGTTCGGAACTCCTTGCACTGTCTGAGCGAGACTTCTGGGAGTTACGTCCTTCTCCCGTCCCCCGGCCATCGTTTCCCCAAGTCATCTTTCCTCCTGTCTCCCCATTTCACTCACTCACCTGAGCATCCTCCATCCTCCCCACTCACTTGACATCCCCCTACCAACCTGCCCATCTAACTCATCTCATTGAGCCTCTTCTCTTCTGTCATGCTTCTCCCATCCATCACCCATCCATCCATCACCCATCCACCTATCCAACTGCCCGTCCATTCCTCTGCCTAATCACCTACGTGCCCGTCTACCCACAAACCCACCCATCCAACACCCACCCACCCATCCACGATCCATCCATCCACCCTTCTACCAATCGTGTACCCTTCACTTACCAACCACCCTCTTTGCTTTCAACCTGGATCAATCACACCAGAGCAGGCATAACAAGAGACACCCAAGAGAGGAGCCCAAAGGTTGCCTGAGCACGAGGGAATCAGTGGGAAGGGGACAGTGTCCTCATCTAGGGCACATAATAAGCAGAGTCTGATGGCTAGACAAGATACAGAAGGCAGCAGCAGGAAAAAAAGGCCAAAGGCTGGGAAGTGGGAAGTGCCTGCGTGAACCAGTATGCGTGTGTGTCAGGGTGCCTGGGTGGCTCCTTAGCATGGTGGTCCACGCTGGTCTCCCCTTTTTCCCACATGCCAGGGCTCAGGAGCAAGGCACCCAAGGCCGTAAGGGGAGCTTCCATCCCAGGCCTCCCTCACCGCCTTCCTCTCCTACCTCCAACGGTTCCAGTGACTCCAGCCCCAGGCCACTGTGCCCACTGCTGACTCCAGTTACAGCTCCTAGTTGGGCCACAGACTGCTCAGCCAGCTCAGTTACGACACCTGAGCAGCTCTGAGCAGCTCTGAGCGGGCGCAGCCCCAGGGGGCTGGGGATGAGTAGAGGGAGGAGACAGGCTGGCAGTCAGGCTGCCTGTCAGCCAACTGGCTCTCAGGTGGGAAGACAGTTCTTCCGTATCATCACTGGACACATTTCAGTTTCTAGAATGAACCACCTTGCTCCAGGAGAGTCACACTTGTTGTTTCCTCTGAAGCACTCTTTCTCTATATCTTGCCCAACAAGCTTATTCTCCCCATTTCATTCCTCCTTACTCTTCAGATCTTTCCTGTAACAATACCCCCTCCTCCAGGAAGCCTTCCCTGACGCCCCCAGGTGGGGTCAGGTGCCCCCTCTGAATACCCTCAAAGCCGGATGCTTTCTGCATCCCTCCTTGCATTCCCATCACTACTGCCCCATCACTTACTTGTGTCCATCACCAGCCACACTGTGACACCTATGTTCTCCAGTATCTCTCCAGCACACAGTAGGCGCACAACACGTGTTTCCTCAACGAGTTCTCGAGGCAACTGGTCCCAATATCCTGAGCAGTTTCTCTAGCTCCATTGTGCAATCTGGATGTGCCTTGTTTGTAAGAAATTACCATGTACCTGGAAAATGTTCAAATAATGTAGAGTGGAGTTCAAGATCCTTTTCATTCAGGCTCCAAATTACCCCCCTCCCCAAACAATACACAGACATACAACGCACGACAGGTACTCTGCTTCTTAAGCTTTTGAAATGTTCAGCGGAAAAAAATACTTTGAACTTGAAGTAGGAGCCTGGGTCCCTTCTCTCCCGCTCTGCCCATATAGGGTGGGGGTGTGAGGGTATATAGGGTGGGGGTGTGGGGGTATATAGGGTGGGGGTGCGTAGATATATAGGGGGGGGGTGTGGAGGTGGAGTGTCATCAGTTCACCAATTCGTGAAAAAGAAAATGAGGGTGCTGACTGATTCTGCCCCTCATTTTTTTTTTTAAGATTTATTTATTTGTACATACAGAACTGGGGTACAGGCCAGAGGCTCAGGGGTGGTGAGAGGCTTCACCAGAGACAGAGCGGGGAGCAGAACAGGTAGATCAACGAAGTACACTGCTGAGGGGAGCAGCGGGCGGGCCAGGAGAGATCTGCCACGCCATGTGGTCACCTCCGGGGCAGGCGGGAATTGAACTCAAGCGGAAGTGGCTTTTTAGCTTCCCAGTGCAGTGCTTTAACCTGCTGCGCCACCAGGGAGGACCTCTGCCCCTCATTTTTAAAAAAAAAGACATATTTAATTGTGCATAGAAGAACTGGGGTGTAGCCAGGGAGGAAGGGAAGAGGCCCCACCAGAGTGGGGCGCAGAACAGGCGGACTGACTGAAACACACTGCTGAGGGGAGAAGAGGGCGACAGGAGAGGTGTCTGCCGCGCCCTGTGGGTCACTTCCTGGCCGGGAGTCGAACACAGTTTGCCTCTCACTTTGGATGTGACTGAGGAACTCGCATTTTGGCGGCCATCCCAGTTTCCGGCCCGCGTTGGTGGCCGGTCACTCTCCCGTCCCGGGCTCCAAGCCTCCTATCCGGAGCTAGAGCACAGAAAGGTGCAAACGTCCTCGTGCCATTAGTTAACATGGCGTCCGCGGCGACGGCACGCAGCGCACGCGCATTTGCGTGCGAGCCGCCAGGAAAGTGGGAGGGGAATGCGGCTCCTCCTCCCGCCCATTGCCGCTCATTTCCGGCGGAAGCGGCCTCAACAAGAGAAACTTTATTGTTCCCGTTGGGGCGGCGAGGATGTCGGTGAATTACGCAGCGGGGCTGTCGCCTTACGCGGATAAGGGCAAGTGCGGGCTTCCAGAGGTGAGCGCGACCGGGGGCCTCCCAGGCCACCTCTCCGGGGGCCGCTGAGCCGGCGCGGCCGGGCTGCAGCGGGGCATTGTGGGAATATCATGAAGCACCGAGGCTAGACAATGGGAGGGACTTCCCAGTGGGGAGGGGGCGGGAAGTGACGCCCCTGCGCGCCCGAGGACGCGACACGCCCAGCTCCAGAGCATCCTTGCCGGGACTGAGGAGCGGGCCTGCACGCCAGAGTTCCTAAAGTTCCGAGGAGGGAGCAGGGTGTGCACCCCCAAGCAGAAGCCCTGCAGTGGCTAAGGCAGGGAGGTGGGATTAAACACTTGGAAACAGATGCGCCCGAGGCCTGCAGAGCCACCATGGGCTCTGCCAAGCTGCGCAGTTAGCACTACCCTGAGGTGGTGGAGCAGGGTTTTGAGCTGGGGGGGACCTGGATGATGGTGTGTCAGGGGAACACCCTCAGACACTGGGAAAGGGGGTGGCGGGGAAGTGGGTGTCCACCCCATTCACGGTGAGGCTTTGGATGAGTCACTTCCTTCACGCTCCTGTCAACTGGGGGTGTTAAGGAGCCACAGCTCGCTACCTGACGTCCTACTAAGACACTAGGATTTTGAGCAAAAGAAAAAAAAGCTCTACTGCGAACGGATTGGCAAGGAGTTGGAGGTTAAACTCACCTGCCGCCTCCACTAAGGTTATATGAGGTTACTGAGGGCAGGGGGTTGAGAATAAAGAAATTAAATTTTACGGGTTAAGGAAAGGGTTGGGGGCAAAGAAATGTGGGCTCGGCTGCAGCCCATTGGCTAGTTCATGCACAAACCACAAGGAGACGTCTCAGATCACGAGTTTTGAATTTTTGTGGGCCCTGCCCTTCTGAGTAGCCCTTCTCTGCATTTTTGTCTGTCAATTCCAACTGACTTTGGAGCTGAGCTCCACGTTAGTCCATAAACCTTCAGCCTTTGCTGAATCTGCAAAAGGAAGTCTCAGAAAAGTTGACATTTTTTTTTCTTTTGTTCTTTAGGGTCTCAAGACAGTTTAACATCATTTGCCTCAGTTACAGGGAGAGGCCTGTCCCAACCCACAAAGTCTAGCAAGTTCCTTCTGCGGCTTGCTAATCAGCTCTCAGATGGGGTGAACAGCTCCTGAAGCTCCCTCAGCTTCTCCTGCCTGACAGACATTTATTCTGCCCCTAGAGAGTATGCCAGGCACTTTCTAGGCCCCAGGACGATGCAGGGAGAAGACAGTCAACAAATCCCCCTTCTAACAGGGAAACGGGAAAATAGCAAATAAATATGAGAAGGCCGATGGTAGTAATAGCTAAGGAGAAAAATAAATCTGAGGAGTAAGGAGATCTCGGAGCTACATTGAAACAAAGGTGACCCAGGACACATCAATGCACAGACTTTTTCTTAATTTTGTTTTATTGTGGTAAAATACATATAAAGTTGCCATCTTAAGTTCAGTGGTTTTAAAAATATTCATGATGTTATACAACCATCCCCACCATCCATCTCTAGAACTTTCTCCTCTTCCCAGTTAAATATCAGCTCTCCATACCCTCCAGCCCCTGACACCCAGCATCTGTTTCCTGTCTGTATGGATTTGACCCCTCTGGGGGCCTCCTGTGAGTGGGAATCAGACTGTACTTGTTCTTTTGTGTCTAACTTGTTTCACTGAACATCATGTCTTCAAGGTTCACCCATGCTATAGCCTGGTCAGAGTGTTCATCCTTTTTTTTTTTTAAGGCTGAATAATATTCCAGCATATGGATGGAGCACATTGTGCTGATCCACTCATCCATCAATAGACATTTGGGTTGCTTCTGTGTTTTACCTATTGTTAAGTAATGCTGCCAAGAGTGTCCCAGTGTGATATCTTTTAAGACAAGGCCAACATGAGGTGAGGGTGGGAGCCAACTGGGTAGGGCACAGCAGTGCAAAGCCTGTGAGACAGAACTGTGCCTGACAGGTTGGAGGAGCAGCATGTGGCCTGAGCAGAATGATGCAGGAGGTGAGGGCAGGGGACTAAGAGCAGGTTGTGCACAGCCAGGTTGGCTACTGGGAAGACTTGGGCTTTTACCCCAGGACCTGGGAGCCCTGGAGGGTCATAAGCAGAGCAGGGGCTAATTGCTTTTTCCAGCGCCTTCTCTCCCCCGATCAGCTGGGGGCAGGTCAGTCTGGTTAATTGCCTTGCCCCTGTGGGACATCTTTTGACCCCTCCCTTCTGCTCTGTTGCCCCATAGATCTTCGACACCCCAGAGGAGTTGGAGCGGAAAGTGTGGGACCTGGCACAGATGGTCTGGCAGTCCTCTAACGTGGTGTTCCACACGGGTGCTGGCATCAGTACTGCCTCGGGCATTCCGGACTTCAGGTCTGTGAGCCCTGGGAATGTCCTTTTAGGTCAGACCCACCACTGCAGGTGAACGCCATTGGTTAGAACGTTGTCACGTGACTTGGCTACACAGGATGCTGGGAGATAGTCTTTTGACTGGGTTCGCTGTGTATGGCTAGGTGAATATTGGGTTTCTATTATTACCATAGAAAATGGGGAGAATCATGATCAAGGGCCATTTGTTCCACATTCACTTAGAAATATTTTTTTAAATAAAGTTATTGATTTATGCATACAGAAATGGGGTACAAACCAGAGGTGCAGGATGATGAGAGGCTTCACCAGAGACAGAGTGGGGAGCAGAACAGGCAGACTGATGAAGTACACTGCTGAGGGGAGCAGCGGGCAGGTCAGGAGAGGTCTGCTGCGCCGTGTGGGTCACCTCCAGGGCGGGGATTGAACTCGTACTGAAGCAGCTTACATTGCAACCCACTTACAATGCTGCGTCCTTACCCGTTGCACCACCAGGGAGTGCCAGAAATATTTTTTATTAGACCTGGCATCAAGTAAGTGGGTTAACTCTCTGGACCTCACTTTCTTCACTTGTAAACGGAGGTATGAGACCAAATAACGTCTAAGCTCCCCTCTGCTTCAGGCAACTTGCGTTAGATCAGAGGCTTGTTGCTGGGATCTCAAGCTGGTGGCGCCCTTCAGTGCCGAGATCTCGGTCCTGCTCCAGAGCAGGCCCGGTGCTTTTGGGTTCTCTCCTGGCCTCTCCGGCCTGGCTTGAGCAGACTCCTCAGCAAGCTATGGGGCTCTGCCTGCCCTCCTCGCCTCCTAGCTCTGAGTCCCTCTCTCTGCCCATGACACTTTCAGGGGCCCCCATGGCGTCTGGACAATGGAGGAGCGGGGCCTGGCCCCCAAGTTCGACACCACTTTTGAGAGCGCCCAGCCCACGAAGACCCACATGGCTCTGGTGCAGCTGGAGCGCGTGGGCCTCCTTCGCTTCCTGGTCAGCCAGAACGTGGATGGGCTGCACGTGCGCTCCGGCTTCCCCAGGTGACGTGGCGCACAGCACGCCGGGCCTTGCCAGGCCTCCCCTTCCTTTAAGCGTTTGTGGTAATTCCGCAGGGCAGCCAGGGAAAGCGTCCAGCCCTTCGTCAGTCAGAGCCGCCATCATCAGTGCCTCCCTGGCACATCTCCAGAAGTGGGATCGCCCTTTCCTGGACCGGGGGCATTCCCACCTGAGCTCTGGGTTTCTGGCCTCTGGTACATGGAGGCAGCTGAGCCCAGGCCCCCTCTTGGCACTGCAGCTCAGCCAGAAGTGGCTACAAAACCAGAGGTCAGGGGCTGCGGTGGTGGGCAGCATACAGAATTTGCAGTGGGCTTCAATGTCCCTCTTTCTACTGCCTGTCGACATGACCTCCAGATAGAAAGGCTGATCCTTACCTCAAGGGCTTGCCCCTCGCTGGCCCACTGTGCCTGGGCCTGCCCTGGGGATGGAGGTGACGGCATGTAGAGGGCTGGACGCTCTACAGGCGAGGGCTGAGGGAAAGGGCTTGTCTCTGCTTGTAAAGGCCGCTGTCCCCTGCCCTGCGGAATGGGCCTGACTCCTGGCGCCAGCCCTTTGGCACAGGAATGTCGTTTCTCCCGGAGTCAGGTAGCTCTCACAACCTAGAGATGCTTCCAAGTCCCACAGCTTCGTGCCTTGCAACGTACATTGCAGAGACAGAGCACTCCAGCGTCCACCGCGGGGCTGCACTGGCTCCCTTGTCCCGGCAGTGACCACTCCGGCCAGAGCAACTCACTTAGGTGGCTACAGACCTGATGCTTAGACCTGTGTAGACATTTCTAGAAGTGAAAGAAGACATTCTCTCACTTTTGGCTAATGCATTTCCCTGGCTTGGGAGGTGGAAAACCCAGGGGGGGTTGTTTCCTCGCACAGCTGGATAACAGGGTGGCGCTGGGGTGTGTAGGCAGGTTGAGGGGAAGGCAAAGCAACCGTTTGACTTCTTGGGGTTGGGGGAAAATGGTTGGGGTGGGGAGATAGGTGAGTGGGGAGTGTTACCTGGGAGGCCTGAGAGCTGCATTTTGGAGCAGAGCCTCTGGCTTGGTTGTTTTTCCCCCAGAACATGTCAAGGGTTGAACGTTTTTCCGTCTCATGGGTGGAGGCAGCGACACAGAGCGGTTAGGTGTCCTGCCGGGGTCACACAGCTGGAAACCAACAGTGCTCGCAGCTGACCCCATGTTCTTCTGCCTCTAAAGCCCATGTGTCAGGGCCACGCCTCAGTCTTCCTTGCAAACTGGGACTAGGCTTTCCTGTGGACATGGCCACACTGGAAGGGTCTCACACATTTGAGGACGGAGTTTGTGAGTCCACTGCCCACGTGAAGATGGGGTCAGCCTCCGGGATGATGATTCTCAGGTTCAGAGAGGTTGGGCTACCTGCCCAGGGTTGCACAGCTTGTGGATGGTGGAGAAGCTGGAAAGAGGGAGCCCTGGGGTCTTGTGGATAAGGGGCTGGGAAGGCTTCCTGGAGGAGAGAACTTGAGGCTGAGGATTCGGGGCGCCTGACCGAGGCTCTTCCTTCTCCTTCCACAGGGACAAGCTGGCAGAGCTTCATGGAAACATGTTTGTAGAAGAATGTGTCAAGTGTAAGATGTGAGTGCCGTGTGTGGAGGGGGGAGGGGTGTCCTCTTGGTGTCCATTCCCAGATTGGGCTCTGCAGAAGGGTCTTGTGAGTTGAACCTGACATTCCTGGAGATTTGCAGGATGGCACAGCCTTGGGGGTGGGGTTTGCCTGCCTGCTGTGGTAGCGCTTTCATTTCCTGTGACTGCAGTCACAAACACAGTGACTAAAGCAGCCATCGTAGTCTGGAAGCCGGAAGCTGGAAACGAAGGTGTTGAGGGAGGCGGTGCTCTCTGCAACCCACAGGGGACCGCCCTACCCCGCCTCGTCCCACTTTTGGTGGCGTCCAGCACCCGCGCTGCAGGTGCAGGCTCGTGCCTCTGTGTCTGCTGTTGTCCGTCCCTGTGTCCCCTCTTATACAGACCGAGGCCTTGGTGGGTTAGGGGTCATCCTGCCCTGGCATCACCTCATCTTCACTCATTTCATCTGCAGATCCGACTTCCAGATAGGTCACATTGTGAGGTCCTGGGAGTTAGGACCCCAACATACCTTTTTGGCCACAGAGTGTGGCCCCATTTTGGGGAAGCTGAGCCGAAGCCCCTTCGGGGGCAGGTAGGCAGGGGCTGTGCTCTCCCTGCTGGGTAAGGACCTCACAGGAGTGGATTCCTTGGGGGGCTGCTCCCCTGCAGGGAGACTCTGAGATCACACCACAGGTGGGCTCCCACTTTAAAATTTTTTCTCCAAATTTTTTTGGAGAAAAAAACCTTTAGAAAACTCACAAGAATTTTACGCTGGTTCACATAAACACCAAGACTTTTTGTGTCCAGGGCCAGCTAGGTGTTTCCAGCTTCCTGGGCAGGCGAGACCGTCCAGCTGTGAGCTCTGTCCTTTCCGGCCAGCGGCACGTCTAGGGCCATACCCAGTCGTGGGTGCACCAGCACCCAGTTCACAGAGGCGGGCTTCCCTCCTGGGTTCCAGTTTGCTGGCCCCTCCCAAGCTGATTAGGGAGTCGAGACATTTGCCACGATGTTTTTCCTCCCTCTGGGTTATTAGTACCCCCTGCCTGTTGAGAAGCAAAGCGACAGGCTGCCTCCATGCTGCCTTCCCGTTGCCCCGACACTACAAGGACTTCGCTGTTCTTGCCCACAGCCAAAGCACAGTCCCTAAGCCTGGGCAGTGTGAGTCCCGGGGCTCCCACCGCCGGTTTCCCGGCCCAGGGTCACACTTTACATACCATCATCATGTCTCTGGTCGCCTCTGGAACACTTGCTGACCTCTCTCTTTCCAGGCTGTTGACATTGTGAGGCAGCCAGGCCAGCTTCCACAGTTTCCTCGTGCGTAGATTCCCCTAGTCCCCACTCCCTGGAGAAAAATCTCCCTGCGAAAGGGAAGAGTCACCTAGGTAGGGCTGAAGAGGCAGGTGGGGGCTGACCGAGCCGACGCACCGTCTCCCCAACACAGGCAGTATGTCCGGGACACCGTCGTGGGCAGCATGGGCCTCAAAGCTACTGGCCGGCTCTGCACAGTGGCCAAAGCAAGGGGACTGCGGGCCTGCAGGTGAGTGAGCCCCCGCCCCGCCAGTTCCCTGCAGGGGTGGGTGCTGGGAGGAGCGGTACATGTCTCCAGACTGACTCTCCCACTCCACCTTCACAATGGCAGGGGGGAGCTGAGAGACACCATCCTGGACTGGGAGGATGCTCTGCCTGACCGGGACCTTACTCTTGCAGATGAGGCCAGCAGGTCTGACCCCCACACGAACCCAGGGTGGGAACAGCAGAAACAGCCAGCTCGGGCACTAGGCAAGGGACTCCAGCCCAGAGGTAGTCAGGGAAGACTTCCTGGAGGAGGTGTCCAGCACCCTCTTTGGGTCTGTTCCCCCCAAAATGGCAGCTTTTATGTCCTGAGCCTGCCCACACACCTGGCCCTGGCTTTCCCATACTCCAGGCCTTACCATAGCCCGAGGTGCCTGCTGCTCTGGCCCGCTTTATGGGTGAGGAAACAGGCTTTGACCAGGTGACCTCCGTCCAGTGTTTCTTAGAAGTAACTGAACTGGGATTCAAGGAGGCCAGGTGTCAAAGTTTCTGCCCCTGTCAACAGGGTGGGGAGGTGGCTCAGCCAGAAGACAAATGACAAGGGACTCTGGGGACTGGCTTGGGACGCGTGGGCCTGTGCGAGCAGAGATGGGAGTAGTGTGAGCCCAGACCTTGTGCTGGTGTCTTGGCACCAAGGGGAGGTGAAGCAGGGAGGGTTGGGCGAGGGAGATGTGGGAGCACCCCCTCAGCCTCTTGGGCAGGAAGAAGGCTGCAGAGGCCTTCAAGGCGGGGCCCAGGCTCACCCCTTCCCTGGCCCCAGGAATGCAGACCTGTCAATCACTTTGGGCACCTCCCTGCAAATCCGGCCCAGCGGGAACCTGCCATTGGCCACCAAGCGCAGAGGAGGCCGGCTGGTCATCGTCAACCTTCAGCCCACCAAACACGTAAGAGTGGGAGC